GTTGATCTATTATCTCCCCCAGATCTCCCTCCCCTCCCCACTGTAATTTGACAGTCTGCTTGTTGCTTTACTGTCTCTATATCTATTAAAGATTTAATTTTTATACTGTACTCCAAGACCCACTTACATTACTGAAGGACTTTAGCTACTACCAAGAAATTGTTTACCACAAAAATACATGTGTGGAAATTTAGAAAATTCTAGCTTGCTTTGGATACATAAATCTTAACCCAAGTCATAGTTTCTTTCTCTGCACAGACAATTGATATTAGGACTATATTGTGCTTTAGAAATAGGAATTCCAATGAGAGGAAGACAATTAGAAAAATGGTTTTAAATATTTGTTGTGGGGAGCAGAGAGGTACCCCCCGGGGTGGAGAGCAGACACCTCAAAGGTTACAAGGTTTTAACTCAATGCATTTCACATTACACAGAACACCAGAAAAAGCAAAGCTCTTGTCCTAACAGAACATATAATACTTTGGAACTTTTGGTTTGTTTGTTTCTTGGGTGTTTTTAAAAAAATATATTTTATTGATTTTTTTACAGAAAGAAAAGGAGAAGGATAGAGAGTTAGAAACATTGATGAGAGAGAAACATCGATCAGCTGCCTCCTGCACACCCCCTTTTGGGGATGTGCCCGCAATTAAGGTACATGCCCTTGACCAGAATCGAACCTGGGACCCTTCAGTCATCAGGCCGACACTCCATCCACTGAGCCAAACCAGTCAGGGCTGGAACTTCTGTTTTAAATGTGAATATACTAGTAGTTCATGTTCTTAGAAAAATAGAAGTTGGGGTTGTACAAATGTTTATACGTGAAAGACCGGCTGCTGCTAAGAGGTGGCTACTGCTAAATTTTATTGTATGTATTTCCATAAATGTTGTGTATAAAGTATACATATTTCTTTTTGCTATGGGTAGGAAATATTACTCTGAGACTTTTCCCTCAATATATTTGGTCATTTTTAATATCATTATATAACTTCATTCTTAATTACTGCCACAACATAATTTATTCAACCATTCCCCTTCCACTTGTAAACTTTATTGTTTGCTAATTCAAACAGCACTACAGTGAAAAAAAGTTGTTTGTGATATATATCTGTGGAAGTCTAAATTTGTAATTGTGGGCTAAGTTCCTGAAAGTAGACTTATACATCAAAGACAGTGTTTGAAATTTGAACAGTTACTGCCAAGATTTACCTCCAAACTGCTCTAAGTTTTACAGTCCTAGTAACAAGGACTTAGAATGGCCACAGCTAGAGATTCTGGAACAGTTTCATTATCATCCTAGCTGACATTTATTGAGCATGTTCTATGTGTATTTGTTCCCAGTGCTTTTTTCACTTGTATTAACTTTTTTTTAAAAAATATATATTTTTATTATTGATTTTTTTACAGAAAGGAAGAGAGAGAGAGAGCTAGAAACGTCAATGAGAGAGAAACACCGACCAGCTGCCTCTTGCACAACCCCTACTGGGGATGTGCCTGCAGCCAACGTACATGCCCCTGACCAGAATCGAACCTGGGACCTTTCAGTCCACAGACCGATGCTCTACCACTGAGCCAAACCGGTTTAGGCTGTATTAACTTTTTAAATCCTTATAATGACCCTGTGAGGTAGGCACTCATTTTACAGATAAAGAAACTAAAACACCGAGAGGTTATTTATCTTTCCTGACCTCCTGTCAGTCACTTAAGGTAGTGAGTGACTGCGGATTCGGATGTGTGTCCTTGATGGTGATAGATGTGACATGTTTGAGTTTCTAATAGTGAAGTGGTTAAGAAAGAAAGGCCAGCTTTGCACTTAATGTGTATTGCTTGTGATTCATCTGAAGTCTAATCTTAGAAGGTGCTCTGATTCTTTCCTACTGACTGAATTTTCAGCAAAGTGACCTTTGGCAGCTCATCTATCTTTGCCTCTTATTTCCTCTTTAGTAAAATGTATATCATAGCAACACCTGCTTTTGGAGTAGATTAAATGAAGAGCACAGGGCTTATAAGAGTGTTTGACACATAAACTATATATGTGTTGGATTTTGCTGTTGCTTCCATTATAACTTGTTGGTGTTAAGCCCCAGTTTGGTATGCCATTAATGCCAGGCTTCTTGTCCTAGCATTACGAAGGGTTCAGCAATCTGGAGAAAGGCTGTGTGTAGATTAAATAAGGAGTCCAAAGATGAAAGATAGTTTTGAAAGGCATTTGAGGGTCAGAGGAGCTTCAGCTAAAAGAGCTAAAGACTCTCCTTGACTCTGGACCCATGCTTTTTATTTGTTCTAAGGCAAGGTGGAGATAATACACTTCAAAGGGTAGGGTTTACAGAAATATTGTTAGATTGGGAATAGCCTACAGCCGTTCAGGTGTTTGGCCAACAGGAAGCAATAATTTGTAGATTATTGAGCTGTCTGGCAGCAAAGGATTATCCTATTCAGATTTGGGAGAGATGCTTTTTTAGCCATTCCAACAGATGATTACATATGTGGCTCAGCCCTAGTTGAGCCCCCAAACTTCATCAACCTTTTGATGAAACTCCTGTAATTATGACATGCTGGAATTGGTTCCCGGCAATAACTTCCTTTATATAATTAATCTATACAATCGTGTATGTTTTATATTTATTTCTCTAGAACAAATATGTAGAATTGAGATGGATAGCTCAACGAATAATATCTGTTAAATGTGGTAAAACAAGGACCCAGTAATATTGTACTCATTGCTCTCTATTAGGAGTTTCTTTCCAGTGCTCCTGGGGGACTCCCAGGGAATGATTGCATTTGTGTCCTTCTGTCTGTGCCTCTGTAGAACTACAGACTCTGGCAGCCACACACAGCAGGAGAGAGTTGATTCATAGATGTGAGTTTCAGTTGCCTACTGTAGGCATCTGCTATAGAAGGGCCAGGGTCGCTCAGGGGAAACTGGAGATGCATTGATAGAATGAAGAACTCTGAGAATCGCCCCCCAGGAATATAGTGATAGCACTTGGCACATTTACAAGAAGTTTTCACATACTGAGCTCATTTGATTTTTCCTCAGCATTAAGGCATGTGAAATAAAAAGAAGTCTTCCCCTTATTTTGACTATAGTATCTAGGTTTATTCTTCATCTGTTTATATTATAAAAGCATTTCCAAAGTGTAGAGATTTCTCTCTCTATATTAACCTTCAGTTTCTAAAATGACTTTTGTTTCACAACCATGACTATTAAGCTCTATTACAACAGACAGGCTCTCATGGGATCCTGAACATAGGGTATGATTTTGTTGTTGTTTTGGAAATTTGCCCTAGTTTGAGGGAATAAAAAGATCTGGCACCTTCTATTTCATTTTATAGGTTCAAATACCATTGAATGCCACTGTGGGTTTTGGCTTGCTGAAAACATTGGTAACAGTGAGGTTTTGCTAATTTTACTCCCTTTTAAGAGGAGAGAAGGGTTCAGCCTTCACACTACCATTTAGCTAGTTTATTAGCATGTTAAATAATAATCAAGGCCTCTTCTAAAAACTCATCAGATTTCCTAAGCTTTTTAAAACCATAGAAGTGTAATTCAGCCCAACTTCAAAGCCGCCGCTGTAGCCTTCATCCCCATCATCTGCCTTGTTCAGTCTCCAAATTAAATTCATGCAACTGCCTGAGTTCACATATCAGTTACTGCCAGCTTTTTAAGGCACTGTAAGCAATAGTTACTTTGCCCCCTTTCTGTAACTACTTAAAGAATAGCTTTGAAATTATGTTTCTTTTATCTTACCCAAGTAGACCTGACTAGACAGATTGCTTACAGAAAGTGGGGTGTGCGTTATGTGTGTGTGTGTGTGTGGGGGGGGGGGGGGGGTTTGAGAGAAAGTATAGAACTGAAATTAATAGCCCACCTTGAAATCACTATTCTGAGGATTGGGATTCTGACACCAGTAAATAGATAGTAACTTCTTCATTGTCTGGTAGCAGCTACGAGTACCTGGTCTAGTATCTTGTCCAAAGGGATCCATTGTCTTAAGCAGCTCTCTGAATGTGAACTTAGAGAATAGCTGACATTTTCTTCTAAGTTTCTGTCTGCTCACAAATGACTTGCAGCACATAGTTATGCAAACATACATGGATGGATATGCCCGGCCACAATGCCATCTCCTGGCTGATTTGGTGCTCCAGTGGGGCTGCCTGACCCAGTTATTTATTTATTTTGGAGTATGGGTTCAGTCTGGCACAGACCTCCCATCCCTGAATCCCTGGGGGCTCTGGTGCTGGCTTCAGGTCACCCGTTTTATAAGACAAGACTGGCTGGAGTGGTTTAGGAATAGGTTCCCGAATTCCTTGGGTGTCGTTCTCTTCAGCTCAGAAGCATTACACTTTCTATCCAAACTCAGTCTGTCATAGCCTGAGGGCTGGGCCTGGAACTAATGTGTGTTCATTTTATCACCTTCCCTTCAATGTCAATCCTTATTCCCCATCCCCATCTAAAGAAGAATCTAGTTGTGCTCGCATCATATGAAACCCTCCTTTAAAATTGTTACTGTCTGCTGGAGTTTGAATAAACTAACTGACAAAAATCTAGTTAACAGCTAGCTGAATCTTGTGGCCATTTTTTAAGACAACTTTTTCTCTCTTGTGGATTTCATCCAGACGAATAGTCAACAGTACTGTCCTCAGTGTGTCAGGACTCGGAGATCCTTTGTCTTTGCAGCAAACACAGTGCCCTGTCCATTGTTATTGATTCCCTGGGAAAAAAAAAACAAAAAAAAAAACACAACAACCTCACACCATGATGTGGTTAAGTTCCCATTGAAATGACATCTGCACTCCTTGGAAATTGACTGGGGAGACCACTCTAGTCAAGTGGAGAGTCTGATGATTGAAAGCCAACATTTATAGACAAATATTTTCTATCTCAGTGCCTCCTAGGAGTTTGTGTGGGCCATTGTCTTGATGTTCTGGAAGTCAGATGTGCTTATGGTCCTTGGATGTTTACAGCTGGTGGTATATTACCTTTTTGTTTTTCTCTTTAGGATCAGGAAGAAAACAAGGGAGCGACAAGTTGGCCTGAATTCTACATTGATCAGCTCAATTCCATGGCTGCTGTAGGTATACTTTTTGTTCTCCGACACATGGTTTAAAATACAAGTCTAATACAAAGCACACAGTTGCACAATTAATTCACCTGAGTAAAAACTACCAAATGTCATTATCTTTCTAAACTCTACTCCAAATGTTCAGTGTTGGGAAAACAGGGCTGGAGGGAAGGCAGGAGTGGTACTTGGCAAAATTATTTTTTCCAGTATGTTTTAAACAAAACACACCCTCAAATATACATGAGTTTAAACTTATAAGAGGAAATGTAATCTTAAATCTGGCTTATGTTCAACTTTAACTTGCAATTGTTCTTACCGATTATTTGGAATTTCATTACAGCAGCACTGTTCTAATAATTAATGCCATTTAAAAATATTAACACTCTCTTCATTGTTCTCTTCCTGTTCTCTTATTGAGGATTTATTTAGTTCCTTGGTCCTTGATTTTACAGGGCACCAAGGTACTCTCTTGCTCATATAAAGAACAAAAAATCTATGGTATGATTGGTGTTATGAAAAGGCATAGTAATAATAACACCACCGAGATGTCCTTGGGAAATCTTTGGTACATGTATGTTTGGTTCAGTGATTGCTTAAAGTGCATTCTCGGTGTCTAAAGTGGCAGTCTTTGTGATGCCATTGTTCTGAGCAGCGGGGGGGGGGGGGGGGGGGGGGGGGGGGCGGCACGTATTGATCCCAGCTGAAACATGTAGTGGAAAACAAGTCACCAGCCTTTGAGCCTCAGGAGCTTAAATCCCTTCCTGTTGATAACAATAGGAGGTTGCCCGCAGCAGAACATGGCCTTTGCCTCAGTGGACACACTCATGATTTTAAGAGCCAGTCTGTTAGATTTGGCTTTGAGCTTATACCGTCCATACAGATGATAGGTTCCATAATGTTTTCCTCTACCTCTTTCTTCCTTGCCTTCCCCAGAGTCTTTGAGGGGAATTAGTTTCTTATCACTGAAAGCAAACATTTTGCTGCTGCTGCAAAAGTTAAAAACTGACCAGAATATGTGAATCATTCACACTTTTGCTAAACTTTCAGAGACCTTGACTTTTAGTAACTTCCTTTTTTTCCTAGCTTTCCCTTTGAAGATGCTTCTGCTGTCCTACAGTGAATGATAAACAGCCCGGTAAATGTGAATAGGGCTAAATTATAGACGCTTTTGCCGCAAGGGCTTCTACTCAGAAAGCACAGCAGAAAAAAATAGAAAGTAACTCCCAAATCCTCCTCACACAAAGCATCCTGCACAAAGGCAAAGATGAGGAAAGGGTGATTTCAGCATTTGCGTGAAATGTTAGCAGAATGTGAGGCTTGTGGTGACTATCAAGGATTTTCTATGCTTCTGCCTAAACCCTAATAATTTAGAGTCATTTACATTTCTTTCTTATAAAGGTTATTTTCTGAATTCTTATTCTTTGCAGTTAGGGAAAAAGGGACCTGCTGGGCAGGCTGTCTTTCTTTCTAATGGAGTCAGCATTGTTTGATAGCTGATAGGGGTGCTTGCTTCTTTGTTAATGAATTCGCTTCCATAAATGGAAAAGCACTAAACACTATGGATTTTTCCTTCCTCCATATCTTGGGACCATTCCATTAATTGGTCTTTTAGTGACTTACCCATGCTTGCCTGGTGTCCACCTGGCTCCCTTCCCACTCTAGGGGTCCATGATGTGCGGTGTGTGGCCTCCATCAAGAGCCTCCTTTCTCCTCATCCAGTCCTTGGACAACCCTTTGCTGCAATTCATGAGTTGTGTACATTTTAATTATATTTGCTTTCTTTCCGAGAATCTCAAGGCTATTAAATTGGCAGTCACTTTGCTATTCTTTGTATTCAATACCCAGCAAAGCTTTCTAATGCTCTGTTAAGGACCCAACCAGTATCTTTCCAGGCTTAAATGTAAAAGGCATTAACAGAATTAGTGAGACCATATACTATTGTATAAAGGAGTAAGGAGGCCTGATGAGACCAGAAACTCTGTTGGATATTCTGTTTTCCTCAGCACACTTGTTGCCACCACTTCCTCCCATAGTTCTGGCTCATCGCTCTGGTAACTGTACTAGAGGATGCCTACAACACAGCAGAATCCTGAGGCATTGTCCCGGGACTGGAAGGCACACAGTTTGTTCAATCCTTTTATGGCCTGGCAGCCAGCTTCTGGCTCTTTACTAGGAAATTGTGGAAAGGCATTTATCCATTGTCATCATCCTTTGCTTTCAGCATCAGTAGCAACTTCGGCTTTTGAGTGTGCATCTTGTGACAAGCAGTATACAAGCACTTTGCATGTTGTTTTAAAGGCTTACAAGCACCCTATGCTGTAAGTGCTGTTTATAGATAAGGAGTCTATAAGTTACCTTGCCTATGGTCATCTAATTTGGAAGTGGAGAGCTGGAATTTAAACCCATCAGTCTGAGCTGAAAGACTCCTTTCCAATTTGCCTCTCACTAACTTGGGTTAAAAACCCATAAAAAGAGGCCTAGGAATCCCTCCCCATTCCCCACTTCCAACTTTTCTGAGGCGGGGCAGGCATCTGTTTTCTTTAATGTCTTGAGAGTGATAAACAGTCCAGGTCAAGGACTGCAGCACTTACTAGTTTGGGAAGCCGTTTGTGGAGCAAGTTCAGCTACTTACGTAAGCCTCCTAACAAGGATGCTTTGTTCTTTAGAGGACCCCTGAATGATCCATTAAAGAGTGAAAAATGGAAAAAGAAAAGTGCAGCCCAATAGGTTGCAGAAGGACCTGGAATCTCTGTGTGTGACTTTGTACACTCTTAGGGTGAAAGGGTGTGAGGTGGAATTCAGGGTGCTTAGCTTGCTGGTTTACTGATTTCACACCAATGAAATGTCCAAACTGGGCTTGGTTCCTGACTCCCAGCCAGAAAGGGTTTCTGTGCTTCTGTGCCTTTCTCTTAGGCCTGCAAGCTCCAGTGTATACTGCAGCAGCTTTGACCAAATCCTCCGCCAGGGTGCACGTTGTCTTTGCCCACTTCTCATGTGAACATGGACTTATTAGGTGCTTTGAGCACCCTCAGAGGGTCACGGCTTATTCCGCATACTGGATGTTTGGTGTAGCAGCCATCTTCAGAAATGGAGGCATCTCCCCCTCCTCTATAAAAAGCTGCAAATGAGCCTTCTTCCTAAATGTGAAGATTGAAAACACGAGACTTTCCATAAATCATTTCATTTTGAAAAGTCACATTAGTATATTAGGTTCATCTGCATCCTCTGCTTTCTCAATACAATAAGCAATCTTAGATTTAAATTTGTTTCCCTATACAAAAAAATACGATATTGTTTTTTGTGTTGATAGGAAAGTAATGGTCCTTATATTGGGAAAGGAAATTCCAATTTAATTTTCTTGACTTTTCATAAATCTCCCACCTCTACTAGGGAGAGACTCAATGTAGTCTGCTTTTATATGTCCCACCCTCTTCAAGGTTAAGATAAATGCATGCAAATTCTCTTATTATTAGTGAACCATAATAAAAAATGTGAGTAGTCTTTAATTTGAGGACTGTTTTGTGTGATTAAGCTTAGGAACAAGGAGTGATGTTCATAAAAGGCTTGATTCTGAGCTGCAGAGACAAAGGATTGCTTAAGAGTGTAGAGTTCAGCTGTGCCTCGGGAGATTAAACGGACTTGGCTGGATTTGTGCTGAATTTTCCAGAGGATGGGTCTCATAGAGCTGTGAAGGAATTCACTGACTATTCTGCACAGCTTCTTCCCGCCACCCTCTGGTGACAGCTGTCCAGATGCATCACCAGCAAGAGGACAACTTTAGCAGAAACAATAACAGCTTAAAAACAAGACTTGACTGATTTTTATTTCAGTTGCCATAAATGATACGGGTATTTATGTTTGCTTTGGGCTTTATCCTCCTAATTGTGAAGTCAAAGTTAGACTTTAATTAACATCTAGTTACTTAATGCTGATACTGTTAACTAGAAAATAATTAAGTAAAGTCCTCCTTGTTGATTTGTTTTCCTAAAAGAAAGGAAGAGATTGTATCATTGCAACACATTGGATGAGAGGCAAACTTTTTTTTCAATATCCCAGCTTGTTCCCCAACCATGCATTTTATCAGAATTGGTAACAGGTGAAAAGATGGTGACTAGCCAAGCCCATGTACAGAGTAGGATGAAGGCAAGGGACCAGTGATTCCATGGGTAGAGACACCTGGGCCCAGAAGTCCTGGGATACTTCTAATACAGCTAGGGGGTCATGAGGTGAAGGGAAAGGAAAAGACTTTTTAACAAATCTTTATAACAACAACTGAGATCTGCTTCCTTAGGCCTTGTTCTTCCAAGTGAGGCCCACAGATCTGCATCCGTATTGCATGGAAACTAGTCAGAAATGCAGCATCTTAGTCTAAACAACTCAAAAACTGCATTTCAATAGAAACACAGATGATTCATATCCATGTTAAAGCTTGAGAAGCAGTACTGTAGCAGATCCCTAGGAAGGTAGAGTGCACACCCCTCCCTCCCCCCTACCCCCCTACACTCACTCACTCCATTTCCTCATTTCCAAATGATGCTGTTTCTAAACTTAAGCATTTCCTCTGAAAGAATTGTCCATCATAGTATCAGGTCCAATTTAATTCTTCCTTTTTAAAAATAATTTGATGGAACCCACAGTATAAAAGACTATACTTTTTGTCTGATGAATGGGAAACATAGGGTGGGAGAATTGCTGCCCACCTCAGCTTGAAAGTGTGATAATGTTATTAACTTTAATTGTCAGAATGTTATTATTAACTACAGGTTCACTATTCTTTTTATCAAATATAAATAGTAATATCTCATCAGAGTGTGATTATAGAATAGTTACACAAACATTGGGACAACTTAATGTTTAAGTTTTCTAAACAATTCCTTAAAGCTTTATTTAAAAGTGGAAATAACTTTTAGTAGAGATAACAAATATGTGGAATTCTTGGGGCTTTTGCTCCACATTTTGGCTTGTAGTAAATCTTTGTTACAAATTTATTATTTACTAGTGGCCTGGTGCATGAAATTCATGGGGGGGTCTGGGGGAGGAGTGTCCCTCAGTCCAGCCTGCACCCTCTCCAATCTGGGACCCCTCAAAGGATGTCCTATTGCTGGTTTACAGGGGTCAGACTTAAACCGGCAATCAGGGACTGCTGGCTCCTAACCACTCACCTGCCTGCCTGATTGCCCCTAACCACTCTGCCTACCAGCCTACTTGCCCCCAACTGGGCTCCCCCATCCCTGCCGCCAGCCTGCTTGCCCCCAAATGCCCCCCCCTCCCCACACACACACCAGCCTGATCAACCCCAACTGCTCCCAGTGCCAGTGTGCTTGCCCTCAACTGCCCCCACTGCTGGCCTGCTCTCTCTTACCTTTCCTCCCCACTGGCCTGCTCACCCCCAATTGTCCCCCTGCTGGTCTATTCACTCCAAACTGTCCCCTCACTGTTCTGATCACCCCTAACTGATCCCCACTGATGGCCTAATCATCCACAACTGCTGTCCATCCTGACCTGATCACTCACAACTGCCCTCCCCACTTGGCCTCTCACTGCCTCTATTTCAGCCCCACCACCATGGCTTTGTCCAGAAGAACATCTGGAAGTCTCCGGGAAGGTCTCCCAGTCTGATTAGCATATTACCCTTTATTAGTATAGATAGAGGCCTGGTGCATGGGTGGGGGCCAGCTGATTTGCCCTGAAGGGTGTCCCGGATCAGGGTGGGGGTTCCCTTGGGGCATGGGACAGCGTGGGTGAGGGGCCCGTGGTGGTTTGCAGGCCTGCCATACCCTCATGCAGCGGGGGTCCCCGCTGGGGTGCCTCACCAGCCTGGGTGAAGGGCTGATGGCTATTTGCCAGGCTGGTCATGCCCCCCAGCAGGGACCCTCACCAGCCTGGGTGAGGGGCTGAAGGCCATTTTCAGGCTGGCCACGCATGCCCTCCGGCAACCCAGGCCCCCAGCCACTCCTTCAGCCGCTGCCAGGGCAGGCAGGAAGCTTGGCCTCCTTCATCACCAAGGGCAACCCAAGCCTCCTGCTTGCTCCAGCTCTGTGGCTGCCATCATCTTTGTTGGGTTAATTTGCATACCCCACTCCTGATTGGCTGGTGTGCATAGCAGAGGGAGGGTCAATTTGCATGTTTCTCTTTTATTACTGTAGGTTTGTATTAAAATAGTAGCATGTAATCTGTGTTGTTTGTCTTGCTTGTACCATAATTTAAATATAGAATTGGATTAAGTAACCTCAGTTTTCTTTGCATAGAGGAAATCTCTGCTTGCATTAGAGAAGGAAGAAGAAGAAGAGAGAAGTAAAACTATAGAGAGCTTGAAGACGGCACTAAGAACAAAACCAATGAGGTAATTTTTCCCTGGGTAGTATATACTACTTATCTCTTCTTTTCTTCAATTCTTTTCCTCCAGCCCTTCTTGCCCTTCTCCCTCTCTTTCTTAATTCTTTTTTTCTACCCTGCAACAGCCAAACTTTTGAGGAAGTCCTAAGTTAAAAGCATGCGATTGAACCATGGATAAAATACTTTAATCACTGAACATTCAATAAATTGATTTCCTTCAATTAAAAGATATGCAAGCAGCCATTAAAATGGCTAAAATAAAAAAAGACAGAGACTAACAAGTGTTGGTGTGGATATGGAGAAATTGCCACCCTCACTAATTGCTGGTGAGAATGAAAAATAGTGTGGCCACTTAAAAAACAGTTGGGCAGTTTCTCAGAATTTTAAACATAGTGTTGCCACATGATGCAACAATTTTTCTGCATAATGTATAGCCAAGGGAAATGAAAAAAGTACCCTCCAAAAAACTTGTACACAAATGTTCAGATCAGCATTATTCTTAATAGCAAAAAAGTGGAAACAACCCAGATTCTGTCAACTGATGAACAGATAAATAAAATATTATCTTTCCATAAAATGGATTATTCATCCATAAAAAAGAATGGAGTACTGATACACCCTACAACATGGGTGAGCCTTGAAAATATTGGTGCAGTGTGAAAAAGGCCATACACAAAGGACCACGTATTATATGATTCCATTTATAGGAACTCTCCAGAAGAGGCTAATCCACAGAGACAGAAGGTTCAGTGGTTACCTGGGTTTGGGGACAAGGGGAAAGGGTCTTTTGGGGATGATTGAATTGATAGTGTTCTAAAATCAGGGTGGCAGTTGTTCACAACTCTGAGAATATAATTAAAAATTACAAAATTGTACATTAAATGTAAATTTTATGGCATTTGAGTTATATCTCAAAAACACTGTTATTGTCAAAACCAGTTTGGCTCAGTGGATAGAGCATTGGTCTGCGGACTGAAAGGTCCCAGGTTCGATTCTAGTCAAGGGCATGTACATTGGTTGTGGGCACAACCCCGATCAGGGGTGTGCAGGAGGAAGCTGGTCGATATATCTCTCTCATCAATGTTTCTAGCTCTCTATCCCTCTCCCTTCCTCTCTGTGAAAAATCAATAAAATATATTAAAAACAAAACAAAAACAAAAGAACACTGTTATTGAAAAGAGGATGGGCAATCATCTTACACTGTGTGCCTCCACACCTTTATTTTCCATCAAAGCCTCTAAGGTTTGCTGAGGTGTTGGGCTCATCGGAGCATTGTATTAGCACAAATGCCATGAATGAAGCCAGTGTGGCTATATCTGAGTCATGTGTTTAGGTGTAAAGGCTGGAAAATGAAGATATATTTCCTTTATTTGATTATAAAATACTAACTAAGAATAAACCTACTGACTAACCAAAAATCTTATGCAGTTGTATGACAGAGGTTTTCTAGCCTCGATCAGTGTTTCCCTCTGTGTGTTCTGTGTGCTCAGATGTCAGTGGGTATCCAAAACTAAATAAGTTTAGAAATTTCTGAGGTAGTCAGATAAACAGGTTATGTTACTTCTGAACTTTTCAGAGGCTTAACATTCAGATGTACATTCTGAATTACTCTTGGTTGAATTTACAGTAAATAAGTACCATAAATATCAATAAAATTGATTTACGGTGATAAAAGTGTTGCTTTACTATTTTTATGTACTTGGATTCTGAGTAACATGCAATATAAAAGAAGGATTTTGCTACAGAACCTTAAGGATTCAAGTTACCATTTGTTTGACAAGCAAATATCCTGGAGTTTAAGGATTCTCTTTGTCTTTTATTGATAGGGGGCCTGCCTGAATCAGTGGTTAGTACATAAATGTGCATGGGGACTGATTCTACAATAACACAGGATCAGCAGATGACTTAACCTAAGACAAATGTTCTGAGTGCCTTCTTGCTCCTGATTTTCTGTGGTTATGTGATCTGATAATTGGTTCTTTGTGTCAGTTGAGATCTGTTTACCTCAAATGGAGATTTTTTTTTCACATTTCTGGTTAGACCTGACCATTGGGTCTGTGTCGAGGAATAGGCCAGAAATTCAGAAGGCTTCATGGGTGTAAGCCTTTTGGTACTTTAGGAACTGTATCTTCTTCCTTTATCCTGCTCCCCAGCCCCTAAACTTTTCCATTAAAGGTTATTACAAAATTCCAAGGAGACTTAAGTCTGATACATTTTAACCCCTTCCTGACAGGTTTGTGACCAGATTCATCGACTTGGATGGCCTGTCATGTATTCTCAACTTTCTAAAGACCATGGACTACGAGACCTCGGAGTCTCGCATACATACCTCTCTCATTGGATGTATAAAAGCGCTAATGAACAACTCTCAAGGTCGGGCTCATGTCCTGGCCCATTCTGAGAGTATTAATGTAATTGCTCAGAGTCTGAGCACAGAGAACATTAAAACAAAGGTGGCTGTGCTGGAAATCTTGGGCGCTGTGTGCCTGGTTCCCGGGGGCCACAAGAAGGTTCTGCAGGCCATGCTGCACTACCAGAAGTACGCCAGCGAGAGAACCCGCTTCCAGGTGGGTGTGTTCCCTCTCCGCTTCTTCGTTCACCCTCCATCAGGTCCTCTCCTGGCACTGAGCAGGGAACAGAACCTGAGATTTCCTTGAAGGTGATTACTTACATCATGACTTCAAGCACTTCCTTCCTTTCCGCTTTTAGGACCAGCGAGTAGAGTATGCTTTCTATAACTGATCAATCCGGGGTTTTGGATTAACTGAACTTGAAAATTCGACCCAGGTTCCTTCATACGATAGAGCACACATCTTTTGAATCCACTAAATGGGGTGTGCCCTGAAAATTTTACAGGTTGCCCTTCTTAGTTTAGGATCAGCCTAAACAGTGAATTTATGTCACCATAATTATACTTACATGGAAGAAGCAAGCAGAGTTAACAAAGCAGTCTTTTGTATTTTGTATGCATGTATATATGAATATATATGACATCCAGAATATTGAAAGAGTTTTTAGGCCTAATCTTTAAAAAGTGGCTTTCTATGGATCAGTGTGATTCTGACTAAACACATGATTTTGAAAATTAACTTCTAATAAAATGAGTGGAAGGTTAGTAATGATTCTGTCCTTTGTATCCTTGGTAGACATTAATTAATGACTTGGATAAAAGCACAGGGCGGTATCGGGATGAAGTGAGTCTCAAGACTGCCATCATGTCCTTCATCAATGCAGTGCTGAGCCAAGGTGCAGGCGTGGTAAGGACCTTATGTACAAAACATATATTATTAAAGAATATTTTTTGAAAGAATACCAACTGTTCTAAAAAGGTAAATATGAATTACATTACCCTTTTACTTTCAGGAAAGTTTGGACTTTAGACTTCATCTTCGCTATGAATTTCTGATGTTAGGAATTCAACCTGTCATAGATAAACTAAGAGAACATGAAAATTCAACATTAGACAGGTAAGTCAAGCTGTACGGTCTGAGACAGTTCATGCTTTTTCCTTGTGTGGAGCGCCACTCTTTCAACTACTTGTAACCTGTCCATGACACAAGGTACTTTCACCAGAATGTCAACTCAGCTAATGCTGTTTATTATGTTAAGACTTTCCTGATGAAAGAAGACCACATTGTGTGGAGCACTTAGTGTAGGTTTTGGCACTAGCCCTGAATCATTTCCTAGACTTGATTCTTGTGTGCCTGTGTTTGTAGGGTGTTTTAATAGCATCTCTTTAATTGTCTTTCAGGCATTTAGACTTTTTTGAAATGCTCCGAAATGAAGATGAACTAGAATTTGCCAAAAGATTTGAACTGGTACGTGGGTTTACTGACTTGACTTGTGAGCTCACGAAGTCCCCTGTTGCAACATGGGTTGTAGAGCCAGCATGCGGCAGTGTGACCTAACAGTAACATCCGAGTTCTGCTCGGCTATCTAAGTGACAGGATGAGCTTCTGTTTGCCTTAGATTTGCTTACCTTGCATCGTGGGAACTGAGGAATTTGGGTGTTTGACTTATATTTCTTTCTCATGTGAAATAGGTTCACATAGACACAAAAAGTGCGACTCAGATGTTTGAGCTGACCAGGAAGAGGCTCACCCACAGTGAAGCTTACCCTCACTTCATGTCTATCCTGCACCACTGCCTCCAAATGCCTTGTGAGTATTTTGATACGTATTCTTCCGTGTTTGGGCATCATCCAAAGGGCTGTGTCTTCCAGACATGCTGATTAGGTTGGGTGCACACCAGGGATTTCAAACCTTGGTTTTGTGACAGCCCAGTGTGTCTCCACACAGCCTGTGGGATGTCATGAAGTTCTCAAATTGAAATTATTAATTATAACTTGCTTTGATTTTTAAAATAACCATATACCTTACAGCACATATAGACAGTGATAGAAAATTCCTCTCAAATAAGTAAATGATCATCGGAGGTCTGAATTCCAGAAACTCTAGGAAGCGTAGGTACAGATGTAAATATCTCTCTGGTTCCGAGGCTGGGCCTTCGGGTGACCATGTTGAAAAAATATTCACTTTAGTTGAGAAATAACCCAAAGTATTTTCCACCACTGTTTTCTTTTTTAGACAAGAGAAGTGGCAACACCGTTCAGTACTGGCTCCTACTAGACAGAATTATACAGCAAATAGTTATCCAGAATGACAAAGGACAGGACCCTGACTCCACACCTTTGGAAAACTTTAATATTAAGAATGTTGTACGGATGTAAGTTTCTTCCTACTTTGCTGTCTGTAAGATAATAGTGACAATTTAAAACATTTATTTTAATCCTACTTTAAAATAGCAGCTGGAAGAACTGAACTGTTTTAGAGGTCAAATAGGAATTCCTTGCTATACACATGTATTATATCTAAGTCTCATATGGATTGCCATGTATCAAGCATGCTGAGGGGTTCTCTGCAGTAGATTGTTTGTACCTAGAGAGCATGCATTTAGCAGTAAGCCTTTTGTGTGTTTTCTAATGAGTGCTACTTTAATTATTACACAGGTTGGTTAATGAAAATGAAGTTAAGCAGTGGAAAGAACAAGCAGAAAAAATGAGGAAAGGTAAGTGATGAGGCCTTGATAAGAAAAGAGGCTACTTTATTTGTTATTGGGCAACTAACTCTGCTTTCTGTATATTTTAGAAATTTACTTAGGTGCATCTTAATTGACCTTAGTGCATAAGTCTTTTTTTTGTTCTGTTTTTTTTTTTCATTTCATGTCTTAAGGGCGTTTTGTACTGGTTTTTCTTGAAATTTAGCTATTTTAGTTGTCATGCTACTTCTCAAATTTTATTCTTTTATTATAACCATGCAAGTTTTTTTTAAAAAAAAGCTTGAAGTATTTGCTGTTCAGTGTTGGTTAATTAAAATTTTCTTGGCTATTAGTCTTTTTAGCCCATCCCCTACTGCATAGTTGCTCTTTAAAGGGTTGTTAGAAATATACTAAGGAATACCAGGGATTGCCCAGAACTTTAAGAGAGAAATCAAGCAGAGGAACACTGACCTTTGTAAATATATGTGTTATGTAACATTAACAGGCCAATTACTGGTGAGTGTTTGGCTACATCGTTAATAGTAACAGTATGCATCGGATTACATGAGGGTCATTTGTGTCCAGCGTCTTGCCAACCTTACACAGAATGGGTATAACTTTCTCTCCTCCTTCAAATATTAGCAAATTAAAGTTGGCCCCTTTGAGAAAGCAGTCATACTCCCAGCCAGTATCAATTGACTTCCTGTTCCTTGTCCACGTTACTCAGTCACAGCCAGTGAAATACAAGAGCACTCACTCGAGAGTTGAAAAGAAGTTCCAAGAGCTGCAGAAGCATTTCCTTCCCTCTTGTCACATTTGTCCTTTTCATTGAGCAGAAGGGCAGGGCCACACTGATAGGGGAAAATGCCAAATGGGAAGTTCTGTCATATCCCAAGCTCCTCATATAAATTCAGATTGTTCTCCAAAAAGTAAGATTGCACATCTATTTTTAAAAATAAGTTCTAGAAACTTCTATAGAAAAAAAAAAGGAACATTGACTAAAATAGTAAAGAGAAATTATATAAAAGAGAAAATGGTCAATGAGTGGTATTTTAGGGATACATCCTTAGAGGATGGAGACTCAGGTGTGCAAGTTGATGAGAGAACTGAGCACACAGCTTTGCGGTCATTCCATCATTCATTCCGTGGATACTCATTGAGTGCCTGTGTGAGTCAGGCATGTGCTGGGCTCTGGGTCTGAGTCTCAGCTCTGCCCCTGACAGTGGGTAGGCCAAGCCCTGTTCTCTTCTCCTCCAGTCTCCTCCTCTGAAAAATGAGAAGTAAACCTAAATCACAGGGTTGCTGTGGAGATAAAATGACAAAAGGAATGTAAGGACTGTAGCATAGTGTCCGACACATGCTGGTTGCACAATAAATGACAGGGACTTTTGTAGACTGCGGTGGTACAGAGAAAATGGCCGCGGTCAGTGGGAGGAACAGGATGTTTTAAAGCAAGGTCAAGGGTAGGGTGTGAAAGGAGACATAGTAGATAAAATTCTGTTCTGGAAGCTTCAAGTAGCAAAGTTGTGTTAAAGAGGGCACGGGTTGATGAGTTAGTCAGAGGGTGGAGGCCGTGAGGAGACAGGCAGTCCCTGAAAGGTGGAGCATATCTGGGAAGAATTCTCAGCACACCCAGTGAGCATTGAGTAAACGCTTAGCAAATGGATGATAAATGGACGCCATTTGTGGAGAGAATCCTTTAGTCTGGAACTTAACAAACCTGGCATTACATCAGGATCATCCAGGGAGCATTTGAAAACCACAGACCCCCAAGCCCTGCCCCAGCCTGCAGAAGAGACTTTCTGGGATAGGGTCTGGGTTTCTGAGATGTTACTCCTTCAGGCGGTTCTGGGGTGAGGCCAGGTGTCAGAGGCTAATGACTGATGATGGAGAGTCAAGTCTTACAGCTGTCAGAGAGGGATGAAACTGAGGTAGAAGAAGGAAAACTCTGGCAAAACGACAATAAATACATGAGAACTAGGGAGGGAGTTTTCAGATGTGTCTGACTTCCCAAAGTGGTAGAAGTGGTAAAAAGTGGACTAACTGCTCCAATGCTGGTAAAAGCCAAGGATTAGAGTGTCTTGAACCCTTCTCTGCAAAGTTTGATTTTGAAGGACTCAAAAGGAAAAGACAGAGAAAGCAAAATTTTCAATGTGTTATCCAATTTGGACGTAGACACCAACTCTGTATAGCTCTGCCCCAGTGGGTTATCTCCCTAGTGGGTTTACTGATATGAAAAGAACAGGGGTTGGGTTGTAATTGGGGCCAAGTATTAGAAATGAAGATCTACAGTCTAAACTTCCCTAGTCCTCTTTTCCAAAGCCCGTCACTCCCATTAGTGCTAGAGCGGCAGGCATGTTGGCAACGCAGATCAGCAGGATCGGGAGTCAGTGAAACTGCAGAGAAGAGCAGCTACTTTTCTCCGCGTAGGACGGTGATCCTCATGGTCAGCAGTACCACTGGCGTAATGATATTTAATGCTGAGATGCTAACCTTTGTTTTCACAAGTTTTAAGAACTATTTGCCAGAAGCATAAAATTCTTCTAGTCCAACGAGCCTTCGTGGGGCGTGGAAGAAATGAGTGCTCTGGGACAAACACTGGTCTGGCGGCAGCATTTCCGCACAGTGCAAGATCCTCCCTCTCAGCCCCTCTGTGAGTCAGACACAAGCCAGAAAACCTACTAATAAATCCTGGCCTCTCTCCTCATTTCTAATTTGGGAAGAGGCCCTTTTAATACGCATTTTCCCGAGTGTAGGTGAAGGGCCGTGTCTATGACAGGATTCTGAATTAAGTTCCAAACAGGCGCCATTCTCCTGCACAAGAACCGTGGCTCTAGGGTCTCTTCCTCTGTCTCTTACAAAGTATTGTAGTGAATAAAGTTGTTCATCTGAAGCCCCCTCTAAATATGAACACCACTGAGCCCGCAAGCTGCTCCCCTTGATGGAGAAGAGAAATCATATTTATCTACTAGAGAACCTCCCAACCCTCAGCTTTCTTTGTAGAGAAGATGCTTCGGCTTTGAAGAGAGCCTGCTTTTCATGTCTGGCTGTTTCTTATGCAGAGCACAATGAGCTACAACAGAAATTGGAAAAGAAAGAGAGAGAATGTGACGCCAAGACCCAAGAGAAGGAGGAGATGATGCAGACCTTAAACAAAATGAAAGAGAAGCTTGAAAAGGAGACCACTGAGCACAAGCAAGTCAAGCAGCAGGTGGCGGATCTGACGGCCCAGCTGCACGAGCTCAGCAGGGTGAGGACCACAGGCAGCAGCTCCGCCCTCCCTCATCCTGTCTCTCAGCCCCTCATCCTAAGTAGCTAGTTCCTGACTCGGGGAGAAAACCTGAACCAGCTACCGATTTACTGTATGATTATGAGACTCGCTCCCTCTGCTTTCATATAGACTGGGCAACAGAGGCCATTTGGGGTGTGCATTTTTAAATACAAATCCTCTAATAAGAGCAAGAGGAGTCCCATTAGCCTTTTAAAATAAAAACTGATTTCCAGAAAGCCAAACTGGATGATGGTTCAAAAGTGAGAGGTGTGTGAACGCTTTGCATACAAGCACCAGAGCGCCAAATACCAAGGACCCACCAAGTAGAGTCCACCAAGGCCTGGAAGGTCTGAGGCCTTGCTGCCCCGTAGATCCCACGTTCTCAGAATTCCTCTGTAATTTCAGGCAAAGTGCCAGACTCTCAAAATCATCCACTGAATTTACTTCTTCCATTGATCTCTTCCTATTTTTATCTTTGCAGAGGGCCGTCTGTGCTTCAATCCCAGGTGGACCTTCGCCTGGGGCCCCAGGAGGGCCCTTTCCCTCCTCTCTGCCAGGGTCTCTCCTTCCTCCCCCACCGCCCCCACCTCTGCCAGGAGGAATGCTTCCTCCTCCGCCTCCTCCCCTCCCCCCTGGGGGGCCTCCCCCTCCCCCTGGGCCTCCTCCCTTGGGGGGAATCATGCCACCCCCTGGTGCTCCGCTCGGTCTGGCACTAAAGAAGAAGAACATTCCTCAGCCCGCCAATGCCCTGAAATCCTTCAACTGGTCCAAGCTGCCCGAGGTAAGCCATTTGTTCCGCTCACAGTGCTGTCTCAGAAAGGGACACAGCCCTGGCTGTTAAGTGATTTCATTTTCTAGTATAGACTCGGGATTCTCACCAGCTTAGATATTGAAGTGGTAAAGCTTCTGCAATAAATGGACATTGTTGGAAGCCGGCTCGCTTTGAGCATCTGTTAGAATGAAATATTGGGGATAGCAGCATTTTAAAATATAGTAACCACGCCTGTTCTTTTATGCGAAGTGTAAACCCTAGTGCTTATTAACTTAATGTTTGCAGAACAAGCTGGAAGGAACAGTATGGACTGAAATTGATGATTCAAAAGTCTTCAAAATTCTAGATCTTGAAGACCTGGAACGAACTTTCTCTGCCTACCAAAGACAGCAGGTAACAGCACATGCCTTCCAGATGCTACAGAGGAAAAACACATCCCCATGCATGATCCCTGGGCCACCTGCCATACCCATGCCATGATAGGCATCTTAGTTCTAGGCTGTTTGGTCTACCCTGCATGTTCCTGCAAAGCAGCATGGTGTATGTGTCCACACGTGTATGCCTGTCAGTGTGTGTGTGTGTATGAACATGTCGAAGTTATATAAGCTTCTTGTTAGGGAGCTTCATACCCTGGTGTGTGTCCAAGACCTTGTCTCCACTGGTGGAAGTTCTGTATATTAGCTTGCTTAGCCAAAATAATGTTTCTTTCTGGAGCCATTTTAGTTTATCTGACTTTGGGAGAAAAAAAACACACCACCATATCAAATGGTTATTATCAGAAGCAGACTGCTTTTTTCAAATAGATGGAACCTTTAGAAGTTTGGGGGTCGGTGAATGGCTGTAATTTGGCAGCTAGCTGGAGCCTAGAGAGAAGTTTTTATTGTGTCATGAACACGATCAACTCAGAGTAGGGCTGGGAGGCTGAGCAAGAGTGAGTGCAGATGGTAGTGATACAACTAAGACTAGAGAAGCTTCGGGAAGTGAGCAGAGCCCTCGTGATAGTGGTGAGAGCGTATGATCCAGGCTGGCTTATATGGCCAGGCTGTCCCTGTGACGCTGTGAGCCCCGCTCGCATCTGTGTGATACCTCTCACGTGGGCCAGAAGAGGTCACAGCAAGGTGGCCAGGTTCAGAGTTTCAGAAGAACAAGGAAGAGGTGGAGTGGGCAGCCAGAGACATGGGAAGGGAAAAATGACGTCCCCGAGTGTGAGAAGGAAGATTCTTAAGGATGACTGTGGGAGGGAAATGATGAGGAAAGCAGAGTGTGGCTTAACAAGGAGCACTCGGGTGCCATGCATCTGCCAGGGGCATTCCTCGGGCTTTGCTGGGAGGCCCTTCGCTCCTGAATGAATCATGCCCGGGTGGGGCATCCTCAGACAAGCAGCGCACTTCCTAGTCTGCTCAGGCCTGGCCTGGTGCCTAAGAAAGAGAGTCTCAAAGCAAAACTGCCCTACACCGAGGGAGAGGATGCCTGAGCTGGGGGAGACACAAGAATGGGGGGGGGGGTATTTTTAAAATGGCCTTGAATACATCTGCCATTGAAAAGAAAAGGGGGTTTGTCCTTTAGCCAAAATATTTTCATTTAGAGGGACAGCCTCTCTGCAGTGCATTTTAATGCTATTCCAGAAGTGTGCAAAAACGCACGTGGTTGCCTGGCGTGGCTACATAGTCTTAAAACAGGACTAGCTGGTACCAGACGTAAGTGTGAAGGCAAGCTTGGGCAATAGCATGCACACCATTAAAGGAAATGAGGAACAGGAAGATAGGACGTTGTCCACTCAAAAGCCAGACACTTTACCTTTTAAGTAAAGGGTGTGTTTATTGATTTTTCACAGAGAGGAAAGGAGAGGGATAGATATAGTTAGAAATGTCTATGAGAGAAACATCGACCAGCTGCCCCCTGTACACCCCCCACTGGGGATGTGCTGACAACCAATGTACATGCCCTTGACCGGAATCGAACCTGAGACCCTTCAGTCCACAGACCAATGCTCTATCCACTGAGCCAAACCAGTTTTGGCAGTAAGGGGTGTGTTTAGAGCTCTCATATAGCAGGTGCTCAGCACAGACTCATCCCTGACCAGCTGCAAGGGTCTCCTCCCTCTGCTGTCACAGCAAGGTGTTCTCTGGGCCTTGACATTTTAGCTGATTTCCTGGGAAAGTCAGATAATATTCTGACCTCATTACATGGCCCATTGATTTCCTTCTTTAGTTCCAATTACTAATACTGGTCCATTCTGGTTGCTGAAGGTGAGGATTTGGGAAGTAAATTAAAGGAAGGGAACACAGCAGTTATTCCAAATGATGCTATTCAAGCCTGAGCATGTGGCTTGCACTTATTATGAAGGCAGGTGGTTGAAAGACCCAGGTTTACAAGACTCATAATTAACTGGCTTTCAGCAGAAGGTGCAAAAGGATGCTGCCAAAATGCTCTGGGACAAATATGTGGACAGTTCTCAAGAGCTCTGGGAGACAGGGTTGCAGAAAGCCTGGTATTGGGCAATTGTCTCCTAGCAACCAGTCACTGTTTAATCAGTAGTCATTGCAGTCAGGATAGACCAGCACATTTCAGTTGTACTTACCACTAAGTAGGCTGGCAAGTACAACCATTGGTGCTATTTTCAGTAGTACTTCCTGGAGAAAAGTTTCAACACACCTGCTCAGCTTGGTTCAAGCATGTTTCTCCTCTTGCTGCAAGAATTTGAGATGAAAACTTGAAAGCCATAAATATACTAGTATTTCCCAAATGAAGGAAATCTGAACCATTTCATTGAATTTACTGAACGTTCAGAGATAGGAAATTGAAAGATGCAGGCACGCTAGTGAGAAGTTGTAGCAGAATAAAGGAAACAGGCTTCCTGTCTCTGACTGTCCGCTAGTCTCAGAGTACTATATAATTATCACACTTGAACTGCTTTCTTTTCCACTCCCAAATGAATGCTAGGAACCTATTTTTTCTATGGTATCTCTTCTTTCGTCCCTCAAGAGTTAAAAAAAAAAAAAAAGCAGCAGACCTTGGTCAAATTCCCTATTCTTCAGCCAGTTTGGCCAAATAAATTTCTCAGAAAGGAAAGGAACTCATGCAAGCCATTATCTGTATGCGTGCAACAGGAACATCGCACAGAGGAAGATTTTTTTGGAGGGAAGGGGGATGTTTATATATATCAGATCTGTAAAAGTTAGGTGAATATTGATTAATTACATTTAGGAGAGATTTTTCTGTAAATATATGTTCATACACATGCACGAGATATGCTCCATTGACTTAAAGAATATTGTGTCATTAAAAACAGGATAAATATTTATACTGTCTGTTTTATATATGAAATATTTCAATTGATGCTAATGTATTAAATGGTTGTACAGGCCTACAAATGCCACTGTAGAGTAAAAGCAGAGACAAGGGAAACCATTGAATAGCAGTAAGGTAGGCTAAAAGATGATAATCAGTTTTGGTACAGAGTTACCAGTCTCAACAACCCTGAAGTTAGTTCTCAAGAAGCTCTTATACTTATTTTTAAATTTAATCCTCACACCAGTTCTATGAAGTGAGTATTATTACTATTTCACAGTTAATTAAAAAACGACTTAGTGTATATTCAGTGTCCAAACAGGTAACACAGTCAAGTGTACAAGTGGATAATCCTTAGCTTCACATTGTTCTTATGCCATGGTTTTATTCATTGTCTAGGTCAGGTTTTGTAAAGGATTTTCTTTAACTGTAGTTTTAAGAAAGACCATTCTTATTCAGGACTTTTTTCAGTGTGGATATCAAAGGTGTGTAGAGCTGATTATATAAGCTTATGTGTCACATGAAATGGAATTTAGTAGTGTGCAGTTATTCCCCTGCTCACATTCCAGAAGTTCATTTGAAAGTCAATTTCTTGAATCTCAAAAGCTCTTTTCCTCATTAAAACATATTACACAAGCCAGCCACAAAAAGCTTATTTTATTATATAAAGTGGTGCATTGCGTAGTAATACTATCTCACATACAATGAAACAATATTCATCTTGGTTTTGTGGGAAATTTTATCTTGAGATGCTATAAATTCATTCCCCCTATCTGTGCAGTTGGACAGAAGGAAATGAACTTGGCATTTACCTAGAGAGAGTCATATCTTTGTAGCAATAAATTAACAGCTCACTATCTCCATTCCTCTCCTTGCTCTTTGCCTGAAGACACCCCTTTATAGGCCCTGTTATCAGCCCACAGAATAATATCTCAAAGCTTCTCTGCTCTGATTTAGGGAACAAAGTCTCAATCTGTGTCTCAATCTCCACAACGTGATCTCTCTTGCCAGTATGTAACACACAAATCATTCTTGGGATCCCCTTTGGAACATTTAGTGCTATCTTCTGATGTTTATAAATGGATAAAGAATTTTTCTTTTTATTCTTTTTACATGTTTCATTATCCTGTTTATCTCGTTTTCACATTGAAAAATTATGTGATTTAGGAATATATTTCAATAATCTTGGTCCTTGAACACTGAAGAGAAAATTATAAATGATAATTTTTCTTAAGACTAAAGTATGGGGTAGAGGTTCTGTAATGGACTGCATGGTAAGAGTTAATCAAATGCAGGGTTTATATAAATATCAGTGTATACAATTTTTCTGGAGAAGGATCCAGCTTTTATCAGATTTACAAAGGAATCTCAACCTCGAAAAGATTAAAACCCATTCATGTAGGAGTGATTACTGTTGAGTCATTACTTCATTGTGGAACCCTATCTATAAGAATCTATCAGCACTAGTTCCTGAGAATGCAAGTCCCAACTTCCTATTTATATTCCAAGCCCAAGGCTCTACACCAAAAAATCATCTGGAAAAATCAGGCATCCTGTTAGATGGAGCCAAAGATAAATGATTCTGTCAAGTTTGGTTCAAGCCAGTTAGTGAAGAACTTAAGGTTTCAAAAAGAATGTTAACTTATTTGAAATAGACCTGGAAACATTATTATTTTTGTCATGCCCCAACTAATAAACTTTGTGGTTTCATAAAGCTAACAATTAACCAAACTCTCCCATGGCATTCCTCATCCCCTCCCCTGGAAAGATGAACTACTACATTACTTAGCTATTAATTGTTGCAATTACTGCCATTGGTTATAAATGGGAGATCTAGACTAACTGTACAACTCAGCTGAAAGCAGGACTGTAGGAGAAAATAAGGACTTGATCATCAGCTTGAAAGATAATTTTATGATAGCTTCTAAGAACTGAGCTCATAACTGTGTGTCAGCCATTGTACAAGATTCTTTGCATGCATTATCATATTTAATCCTCACACTAGTAATCTGGTTGTTGACCCTGTTTTACGGACAGACTGAGCATCAGTACCAGCTAGTTATTGATAGTTGCCTGATTCCATAGCCCACGACAGTAGAGGTCAGAAATCTCCATTTCCTGATGGTTGGAATTTATGAGAATTGCCAGAGAACTTTTTAGAAGTTTCTTTTCTGAAGGCCAGATAATGAGAGGCAGATCTAAATTCATCTAAGCAGCTTGTCTCTTTAAGAGAGAAAAGTAGGGTAAGGCCTGGTGGAGTTCACGTCATCATAGTTCTTTCTGCCCTGGAAAGGAGAAACTGCTTTTACAGGGAGCGAGTCCTAAGGAGTTTTACCTGGTAGAGTAGAAAAACTGACGATTACAACGAGGACAAGAGAAAACTGTGACCTCAGAGGAGAACAAAGTTTTCTCGTGGTTATTAAAGGATTTTTTAATGCCATTCTAGAAAAGCAGTCCCTCCTCGTCCGGGTGGAGCCAGGAGAGGGGGTATTTTGTTTCCCTCTAGCGAAGCTATCTATGGAGCCGCTCATTGGTGTAAAATTGGCCTCAGGCACTGCCAGAACCAGTGAGGCCTTAAGGAATTTGCTGAGCAAATGCTGGTTGTGCTAGAGGTTGGTCCAAATGCTGGGCTGTGTTTTGCACACCGAAGCTGCATTCATTCCATCATGGCAAAATATATAAAGGAATTTGTGACTTCCTCATAATGTGTCAATTACTGCTTCCTCTTCTTCATCCCAAGTCTTTTCTGTGGACTATGTCAAGAAGAGGCTGTTGACTTTTGTGTGCTTGAAACAGCCCTGAGGCAGTTGGGACAGGGCCACCCATAGTTGCACACCACACAGATCCCTCATTGTCTCCCAGTTAGTGAGTTCTGTCTTTTCTCTCCCTGTCGCACCTACGGGCAGTGAGGGCTAATACTACTGACCTATGTTGTCGAACCAGTCTTTTGTCTTTTCATAATCTTTTCACTTCAAGTAAAAAATCATGTTGAATCAATGGAGCCCGGTGGTCCTTTCAAACAAGATGTGGTTCCTTTCCCAACTTGAGTCTTCCTAGGATGTTTGAATTCCTTCTCAATTTGATTTTCCACCAGTGAAAATGAGTGCGGCCCATGCCATCTCTCTCTACCCGGAATGCTCAGTACCATGCCCTTATTTGTATTTTCCGCTAGACTCTGTCATTTTCATTCACCCTCACTGCTGCTCCTAGAGCCGTAGTCACCTCTTACACCCCTCCCTGATCTCCTGGGCTTCCCCCCTTTGTTGCTGTGGTTTCTGAGCTGCATGTGTCTGATTTGCCTTTCCCATGCCTCTGCCGTGGCTGTAGGACTTCTTTGTGAGCGGTAACTCCAAGCAGGTAAGTGAGCTACTACCTGGACCTCGCTTAGTGTAGACCAGCTTGCTGTAAGCTCGAAAAGTCCCAGTTATCTCGTTTTGTTCACACAGTGTAACACAGCCTAGGTGATTTCATGTTGGGTTTCAACACTTAGCTGGAATCTCATCACGACAAAAGACAGTTGCAAAGTTTGTTCACATGGTGCTCTTAGTATAAATTCCACATCGCCTTTGTTTTCTAAGCTGTTACACAATTCCAGAGCTCCTTACATTTTATAAAAGGATCCTGCCCTCTGATAAGATTAAACTTGCTACTTATCTAATTAGTCTGTGTTTTCACCTTGACATCCAGCTTACTCAAGCAGTATCTTACCTAATTGTTTTATGCTTCTCCCACCATAAGCTGTGACTGGCTGTCATTGCTTACAGCTTTCTGCACAGCAGCAGGGTTGCATGTAGTGTTTCGTTGTTAACACAGTAATTGGACTAATGCCTTGAGCTGTCCATCAGGCTCCAGGGTAACGAAAAGGTACCATCTGGGCTTGGAGCTTCCTGTTGCACATGAAGACATTTGGGGTCTTTATTGTTCAGTCTTTTAAGTGCTTAGGATACAAATGGTTGTGGGGCGAATGTGCTCTACAAATGGCTGGACCAGCAAGGGCAGGCCTCAGCTAAGCTTGATTCATAGTGACAGTTCTGTCTGCTGCCCATAGGGACTTGGGGGGCAAAAGGAGGGCACCACTCCCTGGTAATGTATGCACATGAAGCATCTTCAACTTAGGAGCACTTTGTTCTTCCAAACAATGCTTTTTCAAATGTGGGTGGTCAGTGCTTCTTATTTCCCTTTTGTCTACTAGATTTTAGTCTTTGTTTCAATTCCCTCACCCTCCTACACTCCTCCCTCACCATCTCAGCTTTGTGTGTGTGTGTGTGTGTGTGTGTGTGTGTGTGTGTGTGTGTGCAGGAAAAGTATGTGTCTGAAGCCGGAGTGTCCCTTTTTGACTGATGGATTTCTCTCATGCTCTTTATAGAAAGAAGCAGATGCCATCGATGACACCCTGAGTTCCAAACTAAAAGTCAAAGAACTTTCGGTGATTGATGGTCGGAGAGCTCAGAATTGCAACATCCTTCTATCGAGGTATTGTTGATATTGAATAGACATTTCTTGTAGGACCAACTTCTCTTATCATGTGGCTCCAAAATACATGTTTTCACTTGTTCTTATGCCTGGACTCTGTGAGATTCTGTTTTTCGGACTAACTCTCTCTACTAAGGTGAGGACCACTGTGGTACTTACTCCCGCAATGGAATCTGTCAGCTGGTTGCCTTCTGTCTTAGAGTTTAATTTCCAGAATCCTGTGTTTAAAAAGCAGAACCTCCCAAATTCATGTTTGTGTGTGTGTGTCCCTCCTCCCTTTGGTAAGCCTGTAAAATGGACGTTACTTTTATTTATATTTCTTGGCTTCAGAGATATTTTGGCTGTTGAGTAAACACTGTCACAGAATCTGGACTGATGATGAACCTCTCCTTTTTTTATTTTTTTATTTTCCTTTCTGTAGTCATCTTTTTATACTTCAAGCTTATATGATTTCATGCTCTTTCTGAACATTTTTATGACTAAAAGAATATATAAATCTCAAAGCTCAATGAAATGCTAATGTAACTAATTCAGTCCTGATCAGAAATCTTTCTCATAACTAGTAAACCATCTCAACCTTGGAACTTGAAAAGAAGAAAGGAAATTCGGAATTTGATTGTCGCTTCAGGTTGTGTAGGGCATTTCTAGTAACCTTGTCTGGATCTAGTTTCTTCTTTTCTCTAAAGGGGACTTTCACATCAGGCAAAGATACCTAATGCTTATGGGGTGAATGAAGAAGTAAAGAATCCTGAATTTTGAGGCTTTAAGTGTAAGTGCCATTGGTTGCATTCCAGAAAGAATGCTATATATGCACTGAGGCTGGTGTCAGGTGACTTTTTCTTTCAGGGAGAGGGAAGAGGGAAAGCAGTAGTCCTGAGTTTTCAGAGGGTCTTAGAATAAGTTTCTTTTAACACAGAAAGCTGCTGCTTGGTTTTCAGCCTAGAAGCTTGATTGTTAGCCAGATATATATTACTCCAGGGACCAAATGTTTCTTGTAGTGAAAGAGAAATTGAAGCCACTAGATCCCTGAATTTTAATACAACTGATGAGGTAACATGAACCGTCCTGTTAGCTAACATTTCCCTTCTGCCTCTGGAAGAAGAGACGCTGTCTAAATGGCCAGGCCCTGCATATCCCTACATTTGCTCCCTGATCACATGTTCAGGAAGACACCGGTGAAAGCAATTGAAGACCTCTTATTTTTCTTCTGGGTGTACACAATCTGTTTTGTTCCAATTTTTTTAATCCTCACCTGAGGATATGTTTATTGATTTTAGAGGGAGGGAGAGAGAAAGAGAAATATCAATGTGGAAGAAGAACATTGATTGATTGCCTCCCATAACTACCCTGATTAGGAATAGAACTCACAACCTTTATTTTTGGTGTACTTGACAAGCTCAACCAACTGAGCCATCCAGCCGGGGCTATTTCAATTTCTTTTACAAATAACTTTTTTTTTAATACTAACCTGAGGATATTTTTTCATTGATTTTTATAGAGAGTGGAGAGAGAGAAAGACAGAGAGAAATATCGATGTAAGAGAAACACATTGATTGTTTGCCTTCTGCCCATGTCCTGTGACCAGAGCCCAGGCCAGGGAGGAGCCTGCAACCAAGGTATGTGCCCTTGATCAGCACCCAGGACCCTTCCATCCTCAGGCCAACATTCTATCCACCTACCCAAACCAGCAAGAGCTACAAATAACATTCTTAATAGAAAAATACAATGAAAATTTGGGGAAAATGTTTGTTTGTTTTTTAATTTTTCCTATATTTTCAGGAGGAATACTTTAAAACATCTTGACCAAGGAAGCTGTCACTCTTGAATTTCTATGGCACTTAAGTGCTCTTAGGACTATAAATTGTGACCCAGTTCCTTATAGAGAGATTATTCTCGGTACTAGATGCCAACCAGGGTAATTATATTAGTTATAGATAATGTTACATATCTTGTTGGCAGATTTCCCATCCCTTAATGAAGGAATCATTTCATATTTGTGGTATGTAATTCCCTTGTTGCCTCAAAAATGTCAGAACCTAAGATGACTTAGAACTTGAATGTGTCTAAACTCTGGAAGAGAGCTTTAAGAGCTTGCTTTGTATCTGTTAATTTATCTATTAAAACACAATTTAATGAATCAGCGCTATTGCAGTGTGCATAATTAAAAGTTATTGTGCGTAACAAAGCAATTTTGAGTCTCAGTTGACCTTATGGTAATTCAGTCTATTGATCAGGTTCCAAACCTTCCCTCCCACAGAGGATCCATCAGCACTTGCTTTCCTGCTCAATAGTCAATAGTTTCCACTCCCTCCTTGGTAAAATATAGGGCTGATGTGCTGTATGTGCTGTGGTAAAAGTAAAAGAAATTAAGCAAGTTTCATTTTAGTTTGTTTTTTATTTAGTTTTTGTAACCAGTCAGCAGTTCTCCTGCTTTTATTCTTCCCGTTTCGTCAGCAATGTGTTACTATCCATTAAGGACTCTGGGGCTTAACGAATGAAAGAGATCTGGGAGAGCGTGTTTGATATTTTTTCTTAGAGAGTTACTGCTTCGAAGCATCTTACTGCCCGGCATCCTGCAGGGTGCCATAGGGAGTACCCACACTCAAGGTAGCACTGCTGCCATGGGAAGCTCATGCTGATGAGAAGAAAGGTGACACAGGCGAGGTACCTTGTGAACAATTCAGGGCTCAGACTGCTCTGACTAGAAGGAGATGGCAGCTCAGCAACATCAGAGAGACAGGGGCCTCAAAGGGTGATAACTGTTACCTGGGCAGGGAGCACGGAGGCAGTTCCAGGAGGCGTGCAGCTGGAGAAAAGGCACCCGAGAGGTCTGAGCAGCTAATAAAGAGAGCCTGTAATTGAAGCAGACAGTTGTCACTTGGATTGAATGAGACCAGGCAGGAGAGCCTGCAATCTGTGCTCAGTGCCTTTGTGAGGCAGGAGTCCACCAGGATCGGCCATGCCCTCCTCATCTCTAAGACGGAGGTAATGGAGGGGGTGGCCTTGCAGTAGACCTTTGAGAGTGGACCTGGCAGGATGCCTGCATGTGGGAGCTGCTCTGCCAGTGGCTTGTTCACGTCCCCATGAGATCAGAAATGGGTGCAGCTTGTTCGGAAGGAGATTACTTTGTCTTAATAAGGTTGCAAGTTTGATCTCCATGTGTGGGACAGGCTGGAATGGGCCACGGGCTGGAGCCATAGGGTAGGAGGCTCTTTCTGTTGCCCAGGGAAGACCTGACAAGGGACAGCGTTGAGAGAGATGAAGAAACCCCGTACGGGACCTGGAGGCTGATTTTGTACATGGGGACAGTGAGTAGGAACATTTTCAAGTGGATGTCAAGATTTCTTACCTTTCCACACATACTGTTTTCCTTCTTTTCTGCTTATTTCCTTTCCAAAGGGTGGCAACCCTCTCTGTTTCTTATCTCGCAGAGTAAGAATTTAATTCCTAGCAAGGTAGTCATTACATCAAATTCCGCCCCAGTGAAGTCTGGGTGTATCCCATTTAATGAGTGTATGTCTGCAGTGCTTGTCCTCCTTCAAAGCCCTTCTTACCCACACGCTGCAAGTCAGTGGACTCTTTGGTCAGAGGCACCTCTCGCCTGGAGCTGAGCAGACAAACACAAAGGAAACCCTTCCCAGCCCAGGGGCCGGGAAGGGGGGATACAGGCCCTTTTTATGTGCCCACAGCATGAATGGCCCAGGTCACTGCGGCTCCTAGGAAGAGAGTGCCTGGAAGGTAGGTTTTGAATCAGAAGCTCCAGGCCATGAGGGACTCTGAGAAGGGGATGGAATGTTAACCCATTCCTCAGGGGCCCTGGGCAGGGTAAGCGGCAGCTTTCCTGCTGAATGTCTGTAGGTGATATGCGGCAGTCAAAAACTCACTCCACTCTACTCCCCAAAACACCTCTCCCTTCCAAAAGGGGGAAAAATAAAAGACAGGAAGAAACTGGAAAGCTGGCTTATATTGCAAAATGAACCCACCGAAAAGCACGTTTATGAAGTGTCCTGCCATTCTTTTTTCCAGATGCTCACTAGCACGGCAGCCAGAGTGTCGTAAACCACAGAACGCTACTTTAAAGCAGGAGGATTTGGCTTAAACCCACCAAGGCCTAGCGAAGGCTGAGGTAGCCGTCCATCCCTCACTTACTGTAATTATGCCTCGATGTTCCAATTCTCTTGGCACATTTTTTAAATACTTGAGTTGAGCAAGGTGGACTTAAATACTGTTTTTAAATGGCCAGTTTGTTTCCTGCCTTGTAAAGAAAGCTGAAGTGGGTGTCTTATAAGTTGCCACCCTCCAGCACACCAGAGCCCTGCTGCCGAGCTTTAAAAGCAATTAAAAGGCTAGAACGGGTAGGGTCCTTAAATTACAGAGATTAGCAGCTCATTCTGTGATGACAGATGACACTAAGAACCCGGCAGCCGATGGAACCATCCCGGAGGGCAGCATACCTTCTCCGCTTTCCCCAAGGTAGAGTTTCTCCGTCTGCTCCAACAGGCCACGTACAAGGCGGCATGTTGACAGGTTGATTTTCTTAAGTATTACCCATTAAAGTCTCCGGTCTCTTTGTGGGCCACATTAAGAGAAACCAAAATTGTTATGAAGTAGAACTGGTGTTTAGTCCAGACAGCCTCTCAAGGGGTTGAGGAGCATAAATATGTACAATTTCAAACACAAGGAGTTCTGCACTCCATATGGGGAGCTAATGAAATGCATGTCTGATACTTCAAGTATTGTTCTCTGATTTTCAACTCTTTTTCTTTTAAATGCAAAACAGAAGGAACTCAGCACAACTGCAGCCTAACATGATTTCTTTGACTCAGTGTGAAAAGGACAGGGGACTAATTTATTTTTTTCTTATAAGCCGAGCGTTTCTCCTGAGGACTATAGACATTTCCACAGCCAGTTGGTTTCCATTAGTGGCAATTTCCACCTTCCCTAACGTTCCCTTCCTCGGCCTCACAGGCCCGCACGTGGTGTTTGCCCTTCACTGACTGAAGGGCCTTCGATGTCCTGGGGTGTAGGGCTGCCCGGGCCTGTGCAGTGGAGACCTTGATGCTGGGATAGTTTTTCCCGTCATTCGTTTCACCCAGGCCAGTTTGCCTAATTGTTCCACTTATGTTTGGGACTTTTCCCTCATGTTGTTTCATTGAATACCATGTTTATGGGGCACAGACTAAAACAGTCCAGCATGCCATCCACAGCCCAGGAGTTCTGATGTTGCCATAATTGGACAAGGCGGTAGAATGGGCCTTGTTTTAGAATGTGGACATCTGAGTGGGTTGCCTAGAGGCTCTATTTGGATATGAAAACATGAAATAGAAGAGAGTGGTCTTAGTACACTAGGATCCCCCAATTTGTGTTCCTTCCCTGTCCTACTTAATTGGCACATGAAACAACATTCCATTTAAATGGTGGGATGGATGGTTTTAACAAGATTGTGTCAAAATCGACAGGAGGGGATGAGCCAGAGGTGTCAGAGCGGGCTTCTCCCAGCTCTCTCCAGCCCTCTGTCTGTCTGTCTGTCTGTGAGAACACGGCAAACACCTGTACTATGCGTGTGTCTGTGCCTCAGCTTATCGGTTGACTCTCCCACCTCTAAAATAGACACCATGTCTTCTAATTCCATTTTAACACTCCCATGCCTAATTGGTAGTGTATGCAGAGAGGAAACTATGGTGAAATAATGGGTATGAGAGTACTTTGGGAAGTGTTCATAACAACCCTACTATGTGCTATTTAATGCTCAGATAACTGCACATAACTATTAAGGTTATATAAGTATTGCTGTCCTTTTTTTCTGGTGTAGAGAAGTCCGCTTTGTAGACTATACATACAGTGTATTGAGCCTTTCTATGGCCTGGCTTATGCTGAACAGTTTACATGTATTATTTCACTTTATACACTTCTACACACACTCCTTTATTTAAGTATAGTTGATATTACTCATAGGAAACTGAGGCTAAAGAAACACTTTTTCCAACGTCTCACTGGCCAAGAAGTATCAGCCAAGATGGGACTAGCCTTTCCAATGTTAAGTCCCCTGTCCTCAAACTTTTCCTGTGAGGGCTGTATGTTTTGTTCTATATATGTTTATTTCTTTCTCTTTAGTCCTAAATGTTATTCTTCTTGAAGGTCTTAGACTAGAAGAACAGATTAAATGAAGTTAATATGCCACATTAGTGGTAGCTTGTAAGGAAGTGAGATTTTAAAAAAATAAGTCTGGGTCAGATGTTTACAAATAAAACAAAAAAAATGACTATTGTTATAGCTAATAATCTGGTTATGACTATTGGTTATGTCTACTAAAGACACATTTTTAGAAGGAGGTTTTTTCTTTTTTTTTTTCTTTTTATCCTCACTGGAGAATATTTCCCCCCCACTGATTTTAGGAGATAGTGGAAGGGATGGAGAGAGAGAAAAACATCAATTGGTTGCCCCTGCATGTGCCCCAACGGGGGCCAAAGATTGAACCTGCAGCCCAGGTACATGCCCTTGACCAGGAATTGAACCTGTGTCCCTCCAATGTGTTTGCGTTGGGGGTGGGAGGGCACATTCTAACCACTAAACCCACTGGCCAAGGCTGCAAGTACGTTTTTTGTAGGTTTTTAAAAATATATATATATATATATTGATTTTTTTTTTTTACAGAGAGGAAGGGAGAGAGATAGAGAGCTAGAAACGTTGATGAGAGAGAAACATCGACCAGATGCCTCTTGTATACCCCCTGCCGGGGATGTGCCCGCAACCAATGCACATGCCCTTGACCGGAATCGAACCTGGGACCTTTCTACCGCTGAGCCAAACCGGTTTCGGCGTTTTTTGTAGTTTTTAAAATATATATATATATATTTAATAATTTCAGAGAAAAAGGGAGAGGGAGAGAATCATTGATAAACTGCCTGCTGACGCCCCCTGCTGGGGATCAAGCCTGCAAGCCAGGCATGTTCCCTTGAATGAAATCGAACCTGGGACCCTTCTGTCCACAGCCCAATGTTCTATCCACTGAGCCAAACTGACGAGGGCAAAGTATGTTTTAATATCATGACTCTTTACAGCTAACACTTTGGTTTTCTGAAATAATCAAGACATAAATCCTTAATGAAATTAGTAAGTCATATAAGTTTATTGTAGATAGAAAACAGATTTGTGTCTTTGCTTAAATCCTTCCCTAAGCAATATTTATAAAAAGAATTTGTGATTAGCATCAAGAATGTTGGGTTTGTGTGAGATACTGCCACTTTTCTATATGTTTGACCATGGGCAATTGCTTAACTATTCTGAGCCTCAGTTTCTTCCTCTATTAAACAAAATGAACCATTAGTTATTTTGAAGTTTAGATGAAATAACATGTGAAAACTCCTCAACTGTGAAGTGCTTGTACTTTTTATTACTTACATTAACTGTTGTAACAATACTAGTAACGTAGATTCTAAACTTATTTAAATGCATTTAATATGACAGCAAGCTTTACACACTCCTGATATATAATCACATTAAGATTCTAGTTTTTCGCTGTCACCTGCAGTTCATGAATATATTAAAGAGAATGGTGTGTATGGGTGTTGCCCCTACTTCTCATCTGCTAATCCCTAAGTGAAGGAACATAACAGCTTTGTTCGCTATGTCAGCAGAGCATTACAAAGCCCTGAAAGAATGTTAGAGCAGTTTCAAAATACTATTTTTAGGCGCAATATTGTCAGGAAATAAGCTTTCACTGAGAGATTTTTGAGCAAAAACAGTATTTGAAAGTCAGCAGCTGGAGTAGCAAAGTGAATTATCTTCCATTAAAGTTTAATACTCAAACCAGTATTGTTAACAAAATAAAATATTCTTTCTCCAGGTTGAGATTATCCAATGATGAAATCAAACGAGCAATTCTAACAATGGATGAGCAGGAAGATCTGCCCAAGGACATGCTGGAACAGGTGAGCTGCCAGACATCTCTCAGAGCACAAGTGATGGCGAACTCTCGGCAGGGAGTGAGACGCTGAGGAAAGTGGTCGTTGCTGGTAGACAGTGTTTTCATCTCTGAACTGAGGGGGTTGATCCCAGGTTCCATAGGCTTTCATTAGGAAATTATGACTTTATTCTCTCCATGTTCCTCAAAATGATGGGTGAGAAGCAAGGTGACAATGTTTGTCAGGGGCCTGGGATCCACAATGCCAGCATTTGGCAGACATGTCCCTCTCGCTGCTATTACGTTGTTATGCTTTTGTAGGTTAAATATATATCTATTAAATTTACTGAAAAATCTGTTTCACAGGAATATCAAGAATCTACATAAACTGGCCCATGCTAAATCCTTAATATAGTCTGTGTCTTGGTCTTGGCTTGCCATTCCCACAACCACAAAAGCCACTGTTAAACCCCCAGCACTACTATCTACATCTAAATATCCACATATGTCATAAGGTGGGGTTTCAGTTCCTTGGGGCTAGGACATATGGCATGTTTCTTGCCTCGTATGTGGCAGTACATCCAGTTGCCAGAGCTGGCAAGCCTAGGATGGGTTTACGTGCAGTCAGCACACATCCTTGCTTGTGGTATTTGGAGATCATTTGTATCATCCTTAGCAGGCAAGTCAAGGTGTGGGGACCTAAGCCTCTCTTTGAGCAGTGTTTTTACAACATGCTTTGTGCATGTTGTCCAACAGCTTTGTTCAGTGTCTTCAAATGACAGTGCCCATGGCTAGCAGATGTTCTAGGGTTATTACCTATCTCGTGGTCTGGGCCTAAACTGTTCTGACTGCTTGGCTCATTGTCCTCGGGACCATGAGTGATTTTGGTCAAAAAGATCCATGTTTGTAAGAGCCATGTACACCTACAGTTGACTGTGGACACAAGCAATCATGAATCCAGGCTGAACTTAAGGGCTCATCTGTGGGGGTGTTCAGCTCCCAAGAGCAGAGGGAAAGAATATTTTGCATTGCTAACAGTGACCTTGGGTGGCTGGACTGCTCCCCGATGGGGTGCTGTCTGCGTGTGTATTTCCAGTGGTGCTCACTGGTCCTGAAAGGTCTAGGACACAAAGCAAGGAGGAGTGATGAGGCGGTGTCTCCTCCCAAATGGACCCGCCCTGCCTAAAGCCACTGCAGCTGCCATGTTTAGAGGAGAAAACCTGCACACTTTGTAATGGGAAACCTTGCATAGGTTTGATTTAGTTATCAAAATAGTGACTGTGTTTCCAAGTCTGTTGGATGCTCTATGTATGAATAGTTTAAAAGTAATTTCTAAGCCTCCGATTCATTTTTTAGAGTATTTTGCAGCTCCTCCCTCCCTCACGGTAGACCATCAGACCCGCCTCTGCCATCCACACCCCAAGGTGGCCCGTTCGGCAGCTGTCTGCCTCAGCAGTCACTTGCCCAGAGTGAAGAGCCCCAGAAAGCTGCCTTAGTCTTGAGGCCTTCAGCCCCTAACGACAAGGTCATATGTTTAAATTCCACAAGATCTGTTTACTGTGAAATTGCATCCAGCACAATTCCTCCTTGAGGAAAAGGATTTCAAAATACTGCCAAAAGGGCTTGCAGTGCAAATAGAATGTACTTCAAATAAATACAAGTAAGAAAGTCAGTCTGTGAAGCAGAATCTGGCCACCGAGAACCCCTGACCTGATCTCTCCGGTGACTCTGTGTCTCGTGCTCTTTCTTTTCTCCCTGATCTGCTCTTCCTCCTGTTCCCTTTTCCTTCGTATCACACTCTTCCCAGATAGGCGCTGGAGCCAGCCTCTCTTTCCTCCTCTGTGACTTGCATGTGAGCCACATTCATTTCCTCCTCTCCTGCTTTTAGCTCCTGAGCTCAGAAATCAGATGAGGTCAGTACACTCTCCTGGAATGTATACCCTTCTCCCACCCCCAGGTGTTGGTCTAACTCTTCTCTTAAAACCCTCCACACACAGTCTGTTATCCGTGCTTTGAGAAGGTCTGTGCCCTTAGCATGTTCCTCTTACTGTTCTCTTGTCGCAATGAAAGAGAGCTAGTGGCCATGCTATCCTGGACAGAGTTGTGGCTCAGCGTCATGAGTGGGGGCAATGCCTGAGACTAGGACTGAATTTCCTTGCCCAGAAGGTACAAATCCAAAGTCAGGTGGGGGAGCAAGCCTTTTTTTCCCCCCTCTTTCTTCTCATCGCCCTTGCCACTGCCTTCCCTCCTTACACTGAGGAGGAGTCCATTGTCACTATTTGGATAGCGGAACACTAGTGGCCAGAAGCTGCCAGGCCATGAGACCTATGAATTCTCCAGCATCCACTTTCTTCTCCCTGCCCCTGCCACGCCATCGGGAAAGAGGGGTGTCCCTGGTTCAGGAACCGGCTGGATTAGAGACTCTGCCCTCTCCTAGTTCTTTCACCTCTGCCTCTTGACACGTAAGTTGTTTGAGTCTCAGCTTTCCAACACGTGCCTCTTAAGACCCCACATCTCCATCTGCTGTTGTCCTCTCTCTTTTTTGGCGCAGCCCTAGTTCTTGAAAGTCTATCCCCTCTCACCTCCTTTTCACTCCTCCTCTACTCACTGCAGTCGTCTTCCTCACCTCCCAGAGCTGCTCTCAACAAGGACCCACATTCCTGTTGCTAAAGCCAGGGCACCTGGTGGCCTTCTCTGTCTTGATTTCTCGGTGTGACACTGAGGGCACTTGCTCCCTGATGAAACGCCTTCCTCCTTTGGTGCTGGGATTCCACAGTGGCCCCTCCGCAGCCTCCTTTGAAGGTGCCTCTTCTTGTCCTCTTCCCTTAAATGCTGGCTTCTCTGGAGCCCTGCTCTTTTTCCCTCAGTGGCTTCCAAGCACATTACAACCAATACCAATGCTTGGTCTTCCTCTCAGGTTAGGATTTCACACCTACTTGTCCTCTTGCTTTCCCTGCCATATTTGGAACTCTAGACTCACCTTCTCCCCGCCCACCCGTCCTGAGCCTTCTCTTCATGGGTGCCCTGGTACACACTGTTACAGATTGCCGCAGTCAGAAACCTGTAGCTCATCCTACTGACTCTCATCTACCATAACCCATCCATCAACAAGCCGGGCCAGTCCCACTCAAACCCCCTAAATAGCTCTAGAATCTCCACTGCCCAGTCCAGGCCACCATCCTCTCTCCCAGATTACTGCATCAGCCATCTATTATAATCCCAGCCCCTAATACTTCCGGTTCCTTCTAATTCTGCCTCCATTTTTCAGGCACAGTAACCTTTTTAAAAATGCAGACTCATTCCCCTACCTAGGATTTTGAGTTTATCCCAGTACCCTCAAAATAAAACTGAACTTTTTAATTTAATTGATTTGAGAGAGAAAGAGAGAAAGAATGGTGGGGGGTGAGGAGAGAAACATTGATTTGCTGTTCCACTTATGTATGTATTCATTGGTTGATTCTTATTTGTACCCTGACTGGGGATCGAACTGGCAACCTTAGAGTATCAGGACAATATTCTAAACAATTGAGCTGCCTGGCCAGGGCAAGACTGACCTTCTTAACAGGCCTTAGCTACTCCCCAACCTTGACCACTGCTGCCCTCCCCGGCTGCCGGTCCAGCTGCTCTTCCACCTGCATAAGTGCTCTGCCACCCCTGCCAGGCCCTGGCACATGATAGGCACCGCCTGGAGTACACTTCCACCCTCATACCCTTTGCCTCCTTCCCTGTCGTTCTCCTTCTCTTCCTCTTCCTCTGCTGGTCACACACATACTGACTGGCCTTTTTGAGGTGCCTGGTTAAATCCAGAATTTGAAACCCCGCTAAACGGAGCACCCAATGTCAGCATCAAGTTCTAGGGAGGACTTTGGGGCCCACTGGGTCAGTGTAATTTTATTTAAATGTGCACAGGCATTTGGTCTAGAAAATAGCACACATGCCTGTGCGCACGTACACATATTTGTTCCTTTAAAGGAAATCAGACACACAAGAAGTACTTTTTCCACTCTAAATGGTATTTCTGTTTACATGGTATTCCACATTCCATGTCATTTCTTCCTCCAAAATAAAGTATGGACTTAAAAGCTTCAAATCCCACTTCATTCCTTTCATCCAATTCTACATAAAGAAAAGAGAGAGAGAGAGAGAGAGAGAGAGAGAGAGAGAGAGAGAGAGAGAATTAGATAAGCAAAATGAATGGAAAATACACATAGAATAACTCATCCCAGCATGATGTAATAGAAAAAAGGGGTAGAGCTGGGCATCAAGAGACTCAGATTCTGTTTCTGGTGATGACACACTCTTGCCTTGTAATCCTGCGGGAAGTTTGCTAACCCCTCTGGAGCTTGTTTATACCATCTTCTAATGAGAGGGTGGGATCTCCAGGGCCCTCAGAAGGTCTCTGTGAAGTAAGGCATGGTGAAGAACTGCCGTATTCTGGCTTGAGAGGCAGGACAGAACAGAAAGGGGCCAGAAATGAATCTTACACCAATTTGTCCACTTTCAAGTAAAAATGGAAAGATTTAGTCATTTCTGGTGTATCTTAACAATCACTTGTGAGCAGAGCTTATAAATTAATCAAAAGTTAAACTTTCATCTTGGGACAAATTAACTGAAAGGGTGAAAAATTACTGAAGAAATTTAAGTTACACACCTCACTTTTAATATTGTGTGTCCTGTTTAGCTCTTGAAATTTGTTCCTGAAAAAAGTGACATTGACCTTCTGGAGGAACATAAACATGAGCTGGATCGGATGGCCAAGGCTGACAGGTTCCTCTTTGAGATGAGCCGGTGAGTTTTAAAATGCTTAAAAAGTGAAGACGTCCCTTACCTCTCCAAGGAAGTTAAACTTTTGCTTCATGTTGGAGCCTTTTTGAATTGCAGAATCTTTTCAAGTCAGAGTTGTGTGGAATTTGTTTTGCTTAATTGAGTCCTTGACCATGGGTGAGACAGGGTCAGGGTTTCTTCACTATTATCTCTACTTCTGGACCTTTTGACTCATGAGTTTCGACCTATTCATCTGGTTCCATTCAGGGTCGTTCTCCTCACCTCTGATTTGGGGGGATTGTTTCTCACTCTCCCTACTACTTCCACAATGATGGACAGACTCTGATGTCAACCTGGAGCTCACAGCTGAACAGACAGGTCTGGGTGTTGAATCATGACACAAGCAGACATCACTAATCCATGGTGGCATTCTTCCCACAGAGCCTTGGCAAGCTTTCCAAGCCTTCTCCAGAAGTCCCTGCAGCAGCCACTGTTCTTAGTTGACTCTGGCGTGTGAGTTGCATGTAGGTACCCTCCCAGGCCTAGTGAATTGATTCTGCTAGAGAAGGACCAGCAGTCCTGAAACTCAGTCAGCCTAGGGCGGAGCACTTCTGAGTGCCAGAGGCCAACGTGTGTAGCCAAGGTGGACATACCTCTTACTCCATGTGGCTGTCTAATCCAGACTTTTTTTGTTGTTGTTGTTCTGTTTCAACTTGCCTACTGCAGGAGGACAAAGGATGGTTTTGAAATTTTGACAGGTGTGCCCAGTAACCTGTGTAGACAAACCGGATGGCCACCTGCAATAGTTCCACGTAGTCTTTGTCTAGAACTTTACGTGCATCATCTTACTTGGTCCTCTTGTCAGCCTTGCCTGGAGGGCTGTGAGGTCCAGAGCTGTTCTCTTCCATTTAACAGAGTAGTTAAGGGACCTATTCAAGGTCACCTAATAAAGGGAGAACCTGGACCACAAACCCAGGTCTGTCTGATTGGATAGTATAGATTTGGATGGGGGCTGATCCCTGGTCCTACTGGTCTGAAATGTCCTCCAGAGAGCCAGAGAGGCAGTGATTCCAGAAGATCTGAACCAAAATGTCCACTCTCTCCTTCTCAGCAGCTTAGAGCTTCTAACCTTGGTGGTGACCAGAGGCCAGATCTATCCTTGTTATCTCAGATAGCCAGTTGCTATCTTGGAAGGCAGAGCTTGCCAGCCCTGAGGGAGCAGATAGGGAGCTACGGGAAGAAGAATATGTGGAGCTGTGAGTAAGAGAAGATGATATGAGGAGAAAGTGCTGAAGGCAGTTTTTCTCTGTGCTTTTGCCACAGGCAGACTTGGGGAAAGTTAAGAATCCAGGAGAGAAGTGTAGGAAACAGCCCTTTATTTGCAGCAGAACGGGGAGTCTTATCATTTACATTTCTTTTTACCTCTCCTCTGTTTAAAAACTGCTGGGACTTGAAGGAAGGAAAGGGGTCTTTAGTCAACTGCAGCCAGCCATTGTCTAATCTGAATGGAGAAGAGGACCCTGGTGCAATTGCCCAGTTCCCCTGTAGGTCCCAGGAAAGTGGGCCCTCAAGGCAAAGTTGCCTCATGCCCATGCTTCTCTTCAGGAGAGAGAGAGAGAGAAACAGAGAGATTCTGGGGTTGGGGAGAGGGCTCTGAGGTGAAGGACCTCTGGTCCAAATCCATTGAGTGAACACAGGCATATGAAGTGAATGCTCATTAGTCTATGCTTGCTCTTACAGAATTAATCATTATCAGCAAAGATTGCAGTCGCTGTACTTCAAAAAGAAGTTTGCAGAGCGTGTCGCAGAAGTTAAACCTAAAGTGGAAGGTAAAGTCAAAAATCAAGCCGCCCAGATTGCAAATGATGTTCATTTTAAGTGCCCATGTCCAAGTACAATACTAACGCATATAGTAAACAGGATTCCTTTGGTGATGTTTTTGCTCGAAATCTTTTGGGATTTTGTCAGGTGATTACTTATTGTCAGCACCTGGCTCGCTGGCCTGGCCTGGCCTGGGCTCAGGAGCTCACAGCACACTTCCTGGCTCCTCTGCAGGACTGGTATTTTGACCGCATGATGTGACTGAGGAATATATTTGACTGCTACTAACATTAAACCTTTCATTAGCTTTCTTGCAACAGGGCCTTACTAGATTTTTCTAAGGAAAGACTTGAAGCTATAAATGTGGGTTGATTTTTTATTTTATTTTATTATATTGATTTTCCACAGAGAAGAAGGGAGAGGGATAGAGAGCTAGAAATGTCAATGAGAGAGAAACATCAACCAGCTGCCTCCTGCACACTCCCTACCAGGGATGTGCTGGCAACAAAGGTACATGCCCTTGACCGGAATCGAACCGGTCCACAGACCGACGCTCTATCCACTGAGCCAAACCGGTTTCGGCAATGTGGGTTGATTTTGAGATGATTAAGTTTGTAAATGTTTGAAATGTGGTGGAGGCAGCTGGAGAGCACAGTCCCAGAAGGCCGGCTGGAACCGGGATCCTGCTCAGGCCCTGATCCCTGATGCCACTGCAAGCTGTAACATGCAACACAACTGACCAATGTTTTTATCATGGAATTGATCAGCAAGCCTGTTGATCTGACTCACATCAGGCAAGAAAGTGTTTGTAAAGGAATGTGGGAAGTGCACTTTCTGTTCTGTGTATTCCTAACTGCTTCTGGTTGATAAGTCAGCCAAGAAAAGCCCTGGAAAGGGATAGGATTGTGCAACTGCCTGTGGGCCTCTTCAGCAGGGTTAGCCAGCTCTCTGTCCTCCTGCTTTTTGCTTCTAATTCAGGGGTTTCCAAAGTGCCCCTAACAAACCAACCTTGATCTTCAATACATACTCGGTGTATGGAGTTAGGATGGGTTTCACTGAGAAGGCTCGGTTGTCATAGTTGTGTTTGTGCATGTTTTGTTTTGAAGCGATCCGCTCTGGCTCGGAGGAGGTGTTTAGGAGCAGTGCCCTGAAGCAGTTGCTGGAAGTGGTTTTGGCATTTGGAAATTACATGAATAAAGGCCAAAGAGGCAATGCATATGGATTCAAGATATCCAGCCTAAACAAGATCGCTGACACAAAATCCAGTATTGACAAGTAAGTATGGGATCTTGGAGGACCCAAGGCTTAAATCTGGGCCCTCTGATCCTGCAGTTTCTGGTGTACACTTGTCTCTCTCACAAGCATGGGTCCCCCCCAATTTCCTAGTGAGCCATTATCCTCCCTCCATTTTCAGTCCACAGGGATATCATCCAGTCCAAGTTTTTTGTTTGTTGGGTTTTCTTAGATAAACTTTTCATTCAGACTAAAGACAAATTCACTAATTATAAATGTACATCTTGCTGAATCTTCACAAATTGAACACATCTGTGTAACTAGTGCCAGCTCAAGAAAGAGACCGCGATAAGTGTTTGCATAGTCTGTGCATGACTCCCAGTCACTACCCCCACAGAGACCCGTGTTGCAGGGAAAGGCTCTTAACCTGACATCTGGCGGCAGATCTGAAGCATGCTGGGCTTTCACACTGACCTAGCAGCTACGTGAAAAAAGGATGGTGTAAATGTCTCTTGGCTGTTGGTGCTCAGCTGCTCATCCCAAGTCTTGTTAAAGTGCTTCCTAGAAAGTGGGTTTCAGGTGGTCAGACTGTTGGGGACACTGAGGTGTGGAAATGCTCTGGTGTCATTAGCAGGGACGGCCGTTAACACATTAAGTCTCCTCTCCCTGAAAGCCACAGGTCTCTAAGGTTCTCACTGACTTCAAAGAAACGCACACTGTTTCTAAGATCAACTAACTTCTCTGTACCTTCATTCTTTTGTAACGTATGTGGGCTGTTCACCCTAATCATTCCTAACTAGGGAGGCTTACTGAGGCAGAGCGTTATGACCACTCTAAATCCTTAGGAAATAATGCGTTAAATTTCGGGGCCCAGCCTTATTCTTGCGCTGTGCAGAGATGTATGAACAGAGGATAGCTGTTGTTTCCTCGCCACCACCTTGTTTTCACTGTAAGCACTTGATCCTCTCTCGGGCACTTCCACATTGACTGTCACTCCAGCCGGTGAAGGACACGGGCCAAGTGCTGCAGCACCTGCTGTCAGATAAGGAAACTGGGGCACTCATTCCACTTGCTCAAGGTCACAGCAAGCCGGGTATTTGGCATTACAGGTATTTGACACCTGCCATTGCTCTGTCTGCAGCTCTGCGCTACAAAAAACAGGTCTTATTTAGGGGTTGTAGTAAATAACTGTGGCATCTTAACTCACAATGTCAGGAGCAGCCACCTCTTTACGGAAGGTGTTTCTTCACCTGGGCTTGCAGGTTGGGTAGGACAGAAACCCTCACCACCAGTCAGTCCTGTTCTCCCACTCCCTCTTCTTTTCCCCCTTTAGCACCCCTCACACACATGCCACACACACACACACACACACACACACACACACGCCACACACACACACACACACACACACACACACACACACAAGCCTCTGATACCCTTTGCCCTCCCCAACTTACTAATAACCTGACCCTTACTGTGGGATGAACTGCTTACTGAAGTTATAGATTTTATCTACTCCGGAAGACTTTTCAAAACAAATAAAATGAAAGCATTTCTGATCTCTTTCTTTTTCCCCTTCTCTCTGCTTGTGAATATTTGCCCCCTGAAGTAGCACAGTGTCTAATAAACTACAGTGCCTGGCAGAGGGCCTTGCCCATAAGCACTCTTTAAATATTCATTGAATCTAATCAAACTGCACAGGGATGGGGGGGCAGTCAGCATGAAGGGTGCAGTCACTCTATGTTAGAGGCTTGTTTCTGATCATGACAAGGAGATGATCAAATGTGTGACTGAGTTGTTTTCTTATTCTCCAAGAATGTATATTCAGTCCAATGAGGTGTTATTTGAATAACAAACATATATGGAAGCTCAGATCTGGTTTTATTTTTATTTTTTGTTAATCCTCACCCAAAGATATTTTTCCCATTGTTTTTTTTTTTTTTTTTTTTTTTTTTGTTTTTTTTTTTTTTTAGAGAGAGCGAGAGAGAGAATGGGAGGGCGGGGGAGATATAAACAGAGAAAAACACTTAGATCGGTTGCCTCCTGCACGCACCCTGATCAGGCCTGGGAATCAAGCCTGCAAACAAGATACATGCCCTTGACCAGACTCAAACCCAGGACCTTTCAGTCTGTGCTTTATCCACTGAGCCTAACCAGCTAGGTCTCAGATCTGGTTTTAAATCTTTCTATATTTAGAAAGGTATATGTGGTCAGTTAAGCTTAATTTTTTTCTATATAACAAAGCATTTATCTGAAATAATGAAGAAAAATGACTTTTCCCTGTTTTTGATAGTGGTTGGGAATTTGCTCCCTCAGGCTGCTCCACGTGGGCAGATAGTCACGTAGATTCTGGGAACTGCAAAGCTGACGTGCAGTGATACAGCTGCAATTTTTAACCACTGTTTTACTTTGCTGAGCAATTGTTCTCTAATTACTGAGAGAGAAAAAAATTGGGGAATTTTTTTTTTACATGTGAGTCAGTTGACTCAGAGGAACAATATTACATTGACTCTGAAGCTGCGAGGGTAATTAGAGTGGTTTTCACTGTTGTGGAAGAGAAAACCGTGGCAGCTGTTACTTGAACTGGAGGTGAGTGGGCTGTTGTGACAGCATTGTGGATTAGCAGCCATCTAAGAATTATGGAAATATTTTAAAAGAAATGCATTGTGTCCTGATTGTGATAACTTTCAATAGACTAGTAGTTCTTGATCCTGGCTGTTAGAATCACTGTAGAGTTTTAAAAAATACCCACACCTTGCCCTGGTGGCAAGGTGGTTAGAGCCACAGCCCACACACTGAAGGGTTGCATGTTCCATTCCCAGTCAAGGGTGCATACCTGGGTTGCAGGTTCAATCCCTGATTCCAGTGGGATTGAACAGGAGGGCGCATACAGGAAGCAACCCATTGATGTATCTCTCTCACATTGATATTTCTGTCCTCTCTCTCTCTTCCTCCTCCTTTCCCCTCTCTCTGAAAATCAATGGAAAAAATATCCTTGGGTGAGGATTAATTAAAAAAAAAAAATGCCCACACCTGGCCCTACCTCATTCCAATTAAATGACTCTCAGTTGGGCGCAGGAATCAAGTCCAGGTGATTATAGCACACAGTGGAGTCAGGGACAACAGGGCCAGACTTCCACAGCTTTCCCTAGTAGTGTTCTGAGACTCCTGCCTTTTCAAACCAGGTCAGTGAGGGTTCAGGCCTGTCACCGCTGAAGAGGGAGGTGGGTTATGCAGTTAGGAGCTGAAGTGTTGCTAAAATTAGGAAGTGGGTTCTTGACCGCCAGGACATCATATCCATGATGGCATAGCCCTGGTTCCCTTCCAGGACCAGCCCTGAAATTGGAAGCTTTCTAACTCTCTGACTACCCTTTGCCACAACAGCAAAGCAAGTAAGTCAGAGGGGAAAACAGTTATCATAGAGTTCAAAGAAACTGTAAATGAGAGCTATCAGTAATTGTCATCAGTGAGTTGCTTCTCTGTACTTTTAGACTTGAAATAGCTATCCTCACTAGTGGATTAAACATCCCTTGGTCCCTATCCCACCCTGCCTGGTATGCACTCTGCAGGCACACTTCTTCTGTGGGCAGATGCACTGTGAGGGTATGCCTTCAATGGTAATGGTTCAGCTTCATTTCAATCACCCAGATGTTGAAGGCTGTTCATTATGGGCCGTAGAAGTAATTCCTATCCCCTATCCTTCCCTTATAGAAGATGTCCGCTTCCTTTTGACATCTCTTTATATATAAAAAGCTTAAGCAACCATTTGACTGGCAGCTGTGATGCACATTGACATCAGGGGGCAGACACTCAATGCACAGGCTTGGGAACGTGGGACAGACGGATGAATCTCAGAGGGAAGGAGGGAGGGTGGGAAGAGATTAACCAAACATACACATACTAGAGGCCAGTGGATGGATTCGTGCACCTGTGGGGTCCCTCGGCCTAGCCTGTGGGGATTGGGCTGGAACTGGCAGTCTGACTTCTCCAGAGGGGTCCTGGATTGTGAGAGGGTACAGGCCAGGCTGAGGGACCCCACAAGTGCATGAATCCATGCACATGGCCTCTAGTGTTTATATAAAATTCATGTAGGCTCTCCCAATATCCCCTTCTTTTGAGAAGCCTTGCCTTATAGGAACCTCCAAAATTGAAATTAATGCAGGAATATAGCATTCTTGTGGGTTCAACCACTTGAATGTGCAAATCACATGCAGATATTAATCATGATTAATATTCTTCTTTAATTGTAGGAACATTACACTGTTGCACTATCTCATAACTATTGTGGAAAATAAATACCCCAAGGTTCTCAACCTTAATGAAGAACTGAGGGACATTCCTCAAGCAGCAAAAGTAAAGTAAGTACAGTGAAATTTTTAGTTTTCATGTCACTTGGGCTGTGCCTTAGCCATTGAGAGAGTCAGTTAGCTTTGCCTGAAAGGGGTCCTTCTGCTTGCTTGCCCCTGAATACTAGTATACGAAGTGAGGTTTGAATCTTATCACTCGGATGTGTGACATGGTTTTGAATATGTGTGTGTGTGTGCTAGCTCCTTTGGAGTACTCCCGCATGTGGTGCTTACTTCATGGGTTTATTTAGAGTATGCATTATGAGTTAAGGAATGTGGTTTCACTAGTACTTTTCAAAGGCAGTTATATTAAAATGTAGGTAGTCAGTGAGGATAGATGGGTAAGCAAATAGAAGACTAATGTCAGGTTGTAGCTGGTAGCTTTCACATGTGCACACACACTCCCAGAAACCAAGGCAACCTTTTAATGGAAAGCAGTCCTTATGCAAATGAAGGCACTAAAAATAAAAAATGGAAAGCAGCCAAAGTTTTACCACAAACTTCACACTACTTTTCAGAGACTGAGGAGCAGGCAATTTCCCTTGCTGCTATCTCTCCTCCTACTTTTGGCAATATATATATATATATATATATATATATATATATATATATGACATTTTAGCTCTATCTTTTTGTAGTGAATTTGAAAAGCATGACAAGCAGGCTTTCTCTCTGTTTGTAGAGTTTGGTAGAAATGTACCATGTAAGACATGAAGTTAAAAATGAAGTGTTGGTGAATTTGTTTGCATGTGGATTATCAGTTATATTCTCTAATTTAAAAACCGTTAAATAAAAAGTGTTATGGAAGAAGTCCAGGGAGTTTTCTCTGTTTTAGTTTTTAAAGATAAAAACTAGTTAGGACAACCTTAAGAAAAATAATTGTTGATTGAAATTTAAGCCATCACCTTGCAATTTTAACATCCCTGGAGCTTTAGTGAAAAGCAACACACTAATTATAAAGAGCACAGCGTGGCTGTGGCTGTGGCTGTGTCTGTGGCTATGGCTGTGCACAAGCTCGCTTCTTTTACTTGTTCAAAGGGCGACACACATGGCAAGACATTCATTTTCGCATAGCGAGATTTGCGTAAGTGATGTCTTTGAGATTAAAACATGGAATATTTTTGTATGTATGGAGAGATATTTTTATTCTGCTATTTTTAACCTATACTAAAACAGATCTGTTGGCTGTGGAAAAGAAAAAAAAAACACACATAATTCCACGAGTTAAAATGGTGAAATCTGTGAAATCTGATCACTGAAGCATGAAATATTAAAGCCATGATATATTTAATACATGTGAGTCACATGTTCGTTACTAAATGCTGCTCTTTATAACAGCATGACGGAGCTGGACAAAGAAATAGGTACCTTGAGAAGTGGCCTGAAAGCGGTGGAGATGGTGAGTGTGTGTTTCTTTTCTAATTCCCCGTCTCGTCAACTCCGTCTGGTGCTGGTGATACCCAGCATGCGGTGTGCCCGCATAAACAGTTACTGACTTAAAACAAAACAGCAACACTAAAGAAGCAAACCCAGCTAGGCAGCAGGGTTTCCTGCCGGGAGGCAGGGCTCACTAACGTGGGCTGGACTAGATCCTCTTCAGGGATCCTCACAGAGTTCCCGTCCTGTTAATAAATGACGTGTGCTCTCTCTGTAGAGTCATGGAACTTCTCTGTTGTGTTTGGGGAGTGTGTATTGAGCAGACACTTAGGAGTATGGTCCATTCTCAAGGCGAGGGGTCGGGACGATTCGGAGTCTTTGCTGTCCAGGTGTTGCAATGGCCAAGGGCAGTCAGTCCAGAGAGCATCACGTTTGCCCAGTGTGGCCACCTCCTGAAAAGCACGGTGATGGCCAAGGTAGCTTCGGGAAGAGGGGAATTTAGGCTGGCGGAGGCTGGGAATGACTGGCATGTGTTGGTTAGAGGAAGCTTCCTTTCTGGCAGAGATGGCACGAGCTATGCTGAGAAGGAGGGTAGACCAAGGTGCCTGGGAGGGAGATGTGCAGGGTTACAGACAACCTGGTGGTGTGAGGAGCCTCGCTCAAGAGAGGCTCTGGTCTGGCACTCAGTGAGGGAGGCCGATTCGCAGGCAGCTTGGAAAGGGGCCCCCTCCTAAATACTTTATGTCTGATCTTTTCCGTTGGCTTTTAGTAAACTGGGAAGCATGTAAGGTTTTCTTTCCCCCTGGGGAGGAGGGGAGCGGTTTAAAAAGAGAAGCCGTTGAACTGATTGAGTGAACCCTTCTCCCAGCCCCAGTGGGCGAGACTGGGGAGTGTGGGACATCCTCAGCTTCAGAGGCAAACGGAGAAGGGCCACTTGGGACGAGGCTGTGTTACTTCCTCTCAGGAGAAGGCTTTCTCGAGCTGGAATGGCAGTCATGACCGCCCTACAGCCTGACCATGGCCGCTCTGACCCTCGCAGCTGAGCTGAAAGCTACTTCACAGCAAGGCGCGGGGCGGGGCAGGAGGGGGAAAGGAAGCTTTGTGTTTGGGGTTTATGAAAGGTAGTTTTGCTGAAATCTCTCTGGCCCTGGGTCATGTACACTGTCACACACTCTTCATAGGAAAGGAGCTCCAGAAGCCTCCCCTCTCCACTCCCAGCAGCTTAAATGTCAAGAGGCAGCGTGGGAAGGAAATATAAATGTTCATGTGTCCTAATTGTGATTGGCTAAAGGTGATTATATTGCTCTTTTGAAACTGTACACTAATGAAACACTTTAAAACTGCCGTCCCATCTACGTCTCTCGCACACAAACAATGCTAAGTTTCCAAAGCGCTAGGATTATAGCCATTTTCTCCATCAGAGCAAGCTCCATAGATTGAGTTTCCACTTCTGTGATTTCATTTGACTCTCATGGTGCTGTAGATGCTGCCCTTCTTTACAAGTGAAGAAACTGAGGCCCAGGCCACTTGTCACAGATCAGAACCAAACCAGTGGCAGAGCTGAGTCAGAGCCCATAGCCTGTGACCTCTACACGCCTGCTTGTTGGCTCCTCTGCCAAAGCAGGTGAAGAAGGAAATAGATCCGGATTACATCCATTGGTACACAGCATCGATGTTACTGAGACTCTGGAGTCAGGCAGACCTGAGTTCAAATTCTGACCCTGTCATACATCAGTTATGTGACTGTGCACAAGGATTTAAAATGCTCTACAATGCCTCACTCAATGGGGTGTTTGGGGATTAAATAAGCAAGTGCATCTGGTACTGGTCATGATTGAAATTAATTATTAAATTTGAATAATGTGAGTTCATCACCATGGTAATGGAGAATATGGATAATTAACAAGGCACTGATACTCCTCACCTGTCTGTTCATAAAAACTGAATCACTGGGTGGACAAGAAGGAAAACGGTAGCTGCAGTTGAAATTCTATCTACCCAGATATCATGGTTTGGGAAGTAAGTAGATTTGGCAGAGAGGGAAAGAAAAAAAAAAAAAAATCAAGGAACCAGAGTTCTTGTTTAACTTCTTTAATTTTATCCAGATACTAACCTGCTTATGTTTAAGCCAGGGTAAGGACTCACACTGATACTATATGCAGACTACTGAATAAATTGCTGTTGCAAATATGTGTGCACATAGACATGACCTAGCATGGTGGGCAGAGGGCAGATTTCTGACTTATTAATTTGAGCATATGGAGAATGAGACAAGGTGTGTCTGCATTCAAGGCCTACGCTGACATTGTCCGTTTCCTGGGTTTAGGAGCTGGAATATCAGAAGACTCAGCCCCCGCAGCCTGGAGACAAGTTTGTGTCCGTTGTCAGCCAGTTCATCACAGTGGCCAGCTTCAGCTTCTCTGATGTTGAAGATCTTCTAGCAGAAGCTAAAGATCTGGTAAGTTTCCCCTTGCACAGGGCTGGTGCTTTCCCATATTATACTATAAGCATATTTTCTCCCCCATCTCCTCAGGCTGTGATCAATTAAAACACACCCTTTCTGTCTGCCTGGCCTATGTTGCCTTTAACTTAGCAAGACTATGAAGCATCCGAATGGTGTAAAACCAGTAAATTAAGTAAGACAGTTTTCTGTTGATTAATAGTGAGTCAAAGTACTTATCGCTGGAAACTAGAAAAGAGATTATGAAAGGAAAAGTCAGGAAATGTGAGACCAAGTGTGACAAGACCATGTGCCTCAGTATCTCTCCTGAGATTCTCGGGTGGACAGGATACTCCCTCTTGAATCTCTAGCAGAACTTAGGCCAAGTTCCACAGGGAATGGCCCACATATAATATTCACAGTGGAGTGTACATTTAGAGTAATTTATTCTACTAAAAGTTTGTAAAAATATGTTTTTATTTTTAGGAATTGATTTTTTTTTCCAAGAGAGAATCTGTAAACTATAATTGCTGTGCAATAATAGACAATTCCATGACAAATGATAAACAATAAAGATAATTAGAATAAATAAACAACTTATTAAATGAGGTGTCTCTTAATTCTCTTAAGTCTTGTTGCCAGGTGAATACTTTTTAGTAAGGTTTCTTTTATATTTTGCTATTTCAAAATTTTGTGTTTTTATAAAGGAAAAATTTGTATTGGTTAATTATTAAGCCCTTTAAATTCTCCTGCCCCTTTTCTCTCTTCTTTTCTCTTCTCTTCTCTTCTCTTCTCTTCTCTTCTCTTCTCTTCTCTTCTCTCTCTCTCTCTCTCTTTCTCTCTCTCTCTCTCTCTCTCTCTCTCCTTCTCTCTCTCTCTCTCTCTCTCTCTCTCTCTCTCTCGTTATTTTCTCTTCCAAAATATATACATCTTCATGATATATATAGGCATATAGTCTCTCATTTTCTTTCTCATTGCTTATAAATTATATTAAGCCCCTACCCTGACCTATTAAGTACTTCCATATACCCATCTCTCAATTACCACAAATTTCACTTTAACTTGAATCTTTTCTTTGCAACTTGAGTAATGGATGCCATTATTCTGTAGTCACATGTTCAGTTATAAAATTGGATGCTTGTTCTGTAAGAGTGCACACATACTAGTTAAAATTAAAAAGGAGATACATTAAGTAGTATCAACATTCAGCCCCATTTCCATCATCTACACTAATAAAAGAGGAAAATGCTAATTGACCATACCTTTGCTGCGCCCACAGCCAATCAGAGCAAGTATGCAAATTAATCCAAAAAAGATGGCAGTTAATTTACATAGGCTTTGGGAGGGAGGAGTGAAGTCTGAAGACAGCATAGAAGGAAGAGGGAGGGAAAGCAGAAAGCAAGGCGGCTACCAGAGGGAAAGTGTGGGCGAGGTGGGTGGCGGCAGCTGCTTGCAGGAATCTTCCTGCAACGGGCCCCTAGTTATTACATAAATGGAAGACAATATATCTTCAATGACTGCTGTTAGAGGTCCAACCTCTGAAGAATGTGATAGATCAACTATGCCAGCAGCCTCCACGGGGATAGCCCCTCCATGTCTGTGTTTGCCTCACCTACACACTCGGTAAGGAAGGGGACCTCCCTCCCCAAACCAGGCATATAGTACCTACTTCATCAAGGGCTCAAACATTTTTATAGGAATCAACTGGATAGTTAATCTTTTATTTAAACACACACATACACAGTGTGGGGGTTTTTTTTTCTTCTTCTTTATTTTAGCGTGGGAACTTTAGTCTGGAACTAGTTTTCTTCATGTTTCTAAGATAAAAATATACATGACTTCATCAACACTAGAATTCCTAGATAAAAAGATCATTCAGGATGGCTTGGAGTACATGAACTTGACTGTTTTAGAAACACAATTGTAGGCTATCTATTGCCGTTTTGTTCATACCAGAGCTTTTAGAAATGAGCTTATAAAACCATGGAACAAGCTGGAGCGCTATATGTGGTGTGTGAAGAATGTTGTGTTTTTTCCTAAAGAGCTCTAGTTTCTAATAGAATATTTCCAAATAAGTCAAACACTGAGAATAACTCCTCAGTGACAGAAAAGTGGTAAAAGGATATTGTATTATAAATTAAAGATATGAAATAACATTTATAAAATAATATATATATATATATATATATATATACACACACACACACACACACACACAAATATACACTGAGTGGCCAGATTATTATGATCTCTGAATACATAATAATCTGGCCACTCAGTGTATATCCTATATAATAAAAGGCTAATATGCAAATTGTCCCCTTGACCAGGAGTTTGACCAGCAGGTAGGCCGGCCAACCGCCCATGTCCCCTCCCCCTGGCCAGGCTGGCCAGACCCCACCCATATACAATTTTATGCACTGGGCCTTTAATACACCCACACACACACACACTGAGTGGCTAGATTATTATGTGTTCAGAGATCATAATTGGCCACTCACTGTATAACATAATTAAAAATTTTTATTTAAGGATAAATATTGAGGAGAAATTGAAGGGAGGTAGTCAGAAGGTACAAACATCTACTCAAATAAGTCGGTCCTGAGACTGTGATGTTCTAACCACAATGACTGTAGTGAGCATTGCTGTGTGCTGGGGTTTAAAGGTGTTAAGAGAGTAGACTGGAGAATTCTCATTGCAAGGGGAAAAAATACATTTTTCCTTTTTTTCTTTATTTGTATATATGACATGATGGATATTAACTAAATTTATTATGGTAATCATTTCACAAATATTCTAAGTCAAGTCATTACACGGGATATCTTAAACTTATACAGTGCTGTATGCAATTATATCTCAAAACTGGAGGGTGGGATTAAAAAAAAACAAAAAGAGACTAAGTAAATTACTGTTCCCCTTCATTTCCTTTAGGTAGATGTATCACTTAAATATCAGAAAAACGTAGTAATTAGGCAAGTCATGCAAAAAATAAATAAAAGTAGTTAGAAACTTTTGTGAAGGAACAACATAAACTTTATTGTCTAAATATGAAAAAAATTAAAGTTCTGGAAATTTTTAAGTAGTGAGTTTGGCATAGGCAGTGATCATTTACTTCACTTTGAAGCTAGAAACACCATTCTTAGTAGCTTAGGAGTAACAGCCTTAGACCATTGCAGAGAAAGAAAAAATCTAACCAACAATTGGACCAGCATTGAACATTTTTGGATGATCATAATGACGCTGACTTCTAGAAGCATGTGATTTCAAGTTATGAAGATAACTGCCAGAAGAACTAAAATAAGAAAGTTAAAACTAAAAAGACTGAAAATACTATTTTATCATGTACATATATTTTAATATTTTTTTAAAAATTCTCCCTTAATAGTCAGTTATTGTTTTCTATTGAGGCCCAGGAAATATGATAATGCTAGCATTATTTATTATTAGAAAGAGCATCTAAGAAGCATTGGATTCCATTTGTTTTTGATATTGACCATATGGCACCAATAAATGATATTAAACTACTTCAAAGAGAAGTTAAAAGTACAAGTTTCCCTACCCCTGCTGAGTTTGCTATTAGTTTTATGTCTTGAGTGCTCTGCCTTATGATATTTTGCTTTCTTGTTTTTACTACTGTTTAGTTAATAAAAAGTCATAGGAGGTAATCATAGATGTTTAGCTGAAATGAGGCAGACAAGAATAAATGGTTTCAAAAGTCGAGGAGTATTAATTCTTTTACTTGAAAAATGACTGATGGACACATGTGGCAGCCAAAGACAAATGCAGACTCATTCAAATCCCGCAAGCTGAATTTGGCTCCACTTGAGCTTGAGTGCCGGAGGGATTTAGATTTGATGGTGGAACACCAGACTTACTAAAACCTCCTTTTTTCCAGTTTACTAAAGCAGTGAAGCACTTTGGGGAAGAGGCTGGCAAAATGCAGCCAGATGAGTTCTTTGGCATCTTCGATCAGTTTCTTCAAGCCGTGTCCGAAGCCAAACAAGAGAATGAAAACATGCGAAAGAGGAAGGAGGAGGAAGAGCGCCGAGCACGCATGGAAGCTCAGGTAAGAGAATGATGAGTCAGTTGGCTGGTTGGCCTATCCCACCTCCTAGAAGGTCTGTTGCTTCAACTCTTGGTTTTTCAATAGCCCTCTGGTGTGGTGGCAAGAAGGAGGACGTCAGAGAACTCTCTAGAATGCTGCTTGAAGTTTAAATTGGCATAAAGTTTCCCTGGGGCAATTTGGCAGTCTATGTCCAAAGCCCCCCAAATTATATCCACATTTTTTGATCTGGAACTCCATCTCTTAGAAATTAGTCTAAAGATATTATTATAAATTTGCATGAAAACAGCAGCCTTTATAATTGCCCCAACTGCAGACAATCTAAAAAGACATCAGTTCTTAAAATGAATAATAGCTACAAGAAGGAATATTTATGCAGCCCTTAAAAGTCATATCTTCAAAGACTATTTAATAATGCAAGAAAATTTACAAAATGATTTCTACATGAAATCTTTTTTTAATGTAAAATAAGTATAAATACAGAAATAATAGTATTGTGATATTCCCCAAAAAAGTTCACAATGATTATCTCTTGAATTAACCTAGGGTATGGTGACGGGAAAGGATTTGACTTTGGTGTGGGCACACAGAGCAATATACATATCTTTAACATAGAAACCCACACCTAAAACCTCTATGTTCATGTTAACCAATGTCACCCCAATAAATTTAACAAATTAATACATAAAAGAATTAAGCATAATCTTTTTCCTTTTTGTGTATCTGAATTATCCAGCTTTTCTATAATGTATGTGTATGGGTGTATGTATTTTATGTGTGGGTTTCTATTTATTATTATTGGCTTTTAATAATAGTAAGTTGTATAGCAGGTCCCAGGCATTCACAGTAGACACCGCCTAAGCCTTTGATGTAAGGAGAGTGGCCCGATGAGTATTTGCTTTTAGTCTCTCTGTACCATCAAAGAAGCCAATGTTTGGGGTTAGTTTAATAGTGACGATGTTCTCATTCAATTATAGAAATAGAAATTGCTTCAGTCGCTCTTTAACTGGAGTATCATGAGGTTTACCCAGATCCTAGGCGGTGATATTCTAATCACAAAGTAGTGGTCACCTTTCTCTATTGGTTATTGCTTCCACAGTGAGCCAAGTCCCAGTGATCCCTCTCTCGTGCCTCTGAGGGGGGTTGGCAGCTGTAGATGAACATGGCTGGGTGTGGCTGTATTTCACAGAATTCATCGCCGCTGTAAACAAAATCCAGCACTTTGACACTTCTAAGAGGGTGCTTTCTGTTTGCAGCTCAAAGAACAGCGTGAACGGGAACGCAGAATAAGAAAAGCCAAGGAGAACAGCGAGGAAGGCGGCGAGTTCGACGACCTGGTCTCCGCTCTGCGCTCGGGCGAAGTGTTTGACAAAGACCTCTCCAAACTGAAACGGAATCGCAAACGCATCGCCAGCCAGCTGACGGACAGTAGCCGAGAGAGGCCAGTCACAAAGCTTAATTTCTAATTTTCCTTGAAAACTTTTTTAGAAAGCTCATTAGCAGCCCTTTGAAGTGACTAGAACTTTTCAGTACACTGCCTTGCAATCCGAACAGTGGCAATTTCTCCTTCCATCTGTGAGTACAGGTGTGAGTGTGTGTGTATGTAAATGTATGTGTATATGTATATTAAAAGTGTATATAAAGTCTGAGTGTTGTCTGGAGACCTATCTGTATGGTTTTTAAAAGCCTGCGTTGATGTTTGTGCCTAGAAGCCCTTGGTGTACGCATTCATATTGAGTGTGGCTCGTCTTCTTCCCTGAACACCACGCCTGTTCAGAAGCACAATTCTATCTCCTGAAAGAGATGACACAGACATTCCCTCGAGTAAAAAGACAGAAAAAAAGGAAAAAAAATAAGCTTGAAATATTACACGGTTTCCAAGCTTGGTACGCTCTGGAATCATTCTCATTGGTGAAGCTGGTGTCGGGAAGATACAGATTTAAAGTGGTTTTGGTGGTCGCCCATGTGATGCCGGTGCGTCGCATCAGGACCTGCCAGGGCCAGCGCCGATTTCTGACGTGGGTGTGGGGAGGCGTCTGTAACTGTTCATGGAGGACATCTTGCACACAATCTGAATTATGTAGAGTGTCAGTCAGAATCTTTTCATCTATTTAAAACTTGGACATCAATTTTTTATTCTTAATTTCACTGAGTTCTCTGCCAAGCATCCCAATGATTTCTTTACATTGCTTTCGGGAAGAACACTGTTTATCTAAATGCAATCTGTGCTCTTGTTAAAGGAAAAGACTGCCAGAATGTTCTAACCATCGAGATATAGAAACTTTAAAAATAAATTTCCCACCCAAGACCTAAAAGGAGGGATTCTCTGAAGGATTAAAAATTATTTTTAAAATTGTTTATGGGGTGCCTTCCCTTTTTTTTTTTTTTTTTTTTTGTATTATCTCTTTTCAGTTTTTTTAGGACAAGCTGCATCTTCTGTAAATATAGGTTTGGATGAAAGAATACTTAGTAAATGCACAAAATGTCAACAACACCAACAGAGATGCCGAGATCTATTTTGCTCTAAGTTTGTCTGAAGTGCTTTCCTGTTATATGTTGTCATTTTAAATTGTGTGTCAGTAAAGCTACCTGTAAAACTTTAGTCCAAAAGATAAAGCTCTCAGGGAGAAATGGATAAAAACAATGAACGTTAGAAAATAAAATATAGATACTTACCATTAACCTACCAACTCTTAATATCTTTAAATTATATGGTATATAAAGGGGGCTGTCACTTTTTTTCTTTTTTTTTTTTTTTTTTTTGGCTTTGCTTTATTTATTTGTAGTGGGGGAGGAGGGCTAAGGGTCTCCCTTTTCTTTCCATCTATCCTGTTGTGGTTGGGTTTCCTGTGGAGAGAGTAGTTTGTCTTGTTGCACTAGAACATTATTTACTCACTAAATGGAGTTTTTCAGTCAAGTAACAAATATTTATTAAACACTTACTATGTGCCAAGCATAGTAGGGCTACAATGGTAAGCAAGACAGAGCCCCTGTCCCCAAGGAACTCGAGTTCTAACGGGGACGTTAGGGGTGAATAAAATACCAATGCGTGCGCTGTACAGGAATCGTGCTATTTAAAAATAGTTTGTATAAACTATAATGCTTAGCGTGGACGGCAAGGTCCCTGCGCTGTGTGGAAGCTGTGAAATAACGCTCTTAAGAGTTGTCAAGAGCTGTGGTTTTCATTTTCCCCTTCACTGCAAACTTAGTGACTTTCCACGATGAATAGAAGTAAGTGACTAGCAAATAAAACATAAATACACACCAGAGGTTGGGCTCCCTCCAACTTCTAGTCACCACGGTCTGCAAATACACCCCATTAAAGGTGCAGGCAGACACTGTTCCCAAAAGGCTGGCGATGAGGAGGAGTGGGATGTGCTGGTGGATCTGTCTATTCCTTAACTAAAGTGCCTCTATATATATTCTTTTCTATTTATCGCAGGAGAATTTGGTCTGCTCCATGTGGGGACTGTATGGTGAAAATGGCTTTGTTTTACAGTTTAAGGAATAGACAAGTGGTTGGAGAGTCACTAAAGGAGCAAGCTGTGTGTCGTGTCCCTCTTGCCCTTTCCCATCATCCTCATTTTGAGATGACCATCCTGGTTTGCCTCCTATGCCATTTCCATTTTTTGGTTTCTTTCCCCAAAAGCTGTGTGCAGGTAATTCCATGTGCCATGTTGGAGAAAAAAAAAAAAAAAATCTACTTTTTTAGATTGGTGCTGGTGTAAGTAGCCACTTTCCTCTCTTGGGTGTGTATTTTAAATTTTGTGTTTTTTTAAATTAATGCCAAAAAGAAAAAGCATTTTAATTTGTAAACTTAATTGTATGTCTTGTATCTTAATAGCTTAGTAGTTGGACCCACTTAGTCTTTAGGTGCAAAACTGTTGCTATAGTACCGAGAAGAAAATGTTGTATGTGTTATGAAATTGTACATTTTTTAAAATAGCAATATGCAATAAAGAGATGAATTCATTGGGTGTCTGTATATGCTTTCTATGCGTTATTCAAGCAGCATTATCAAATTTTTGGCACAGACCACCAGTAAATTTAAATATTGCAAGTTATTTACTAGATCAGAAACATATACACATTTTTTAACTTGTACATGCTAGACCTAGAAGGTATAGTTTTCTGCTTTGGCAGCATTCAGCATGTCCACAGCCTACCATCTGCTACCTCTTTCTATAACCTCTCTGTATAACTCTGGTGAGTTATACAGTTTCACGGTGGGGCTACTGATAAAATTACTCATCTGGGGGTATTGAAAAGACTGTAGTCTCTAGAATCAAAATCTATTTCATTTTGAAGCATTTCCTTTTTAAAAATTAATTTATGATCTAGGTTAACATGGGAAAAGCTGGCTGTACCAAACAAGGAAAGTGTATTTTATCCTCTGAACATTGAGTCTTTCTCTTGGCCCCACATCACGTTGGTTGCCTGGCTATCCTCAACCCATTTTGGTTTTTTGGTTTGTTTGTTTTTTTTTGTTTTTTTTTTAATATATTGATTTTGTACAGAGAGGAAGGGAGAGAGATAGAGAGTTAGAAACATCGATGAGAGAGAGTCATCAATCAGCTGCCTCTTGTACACCCCCTACTGGGGATGTGCCCGCAACCAAGGTACATGTCCTTGACCGGAATCTAACCCGGGACCCTTCAGTCCCCACGCCGATGCTCTATCCATTGAGTCAAACCGGTCCCGGCCTCAACCCTTTTTTTTTTTTTTTTTTTTTTTTTTTTTGGTAACCCATTTTGAAGTCCAGCTGAGAACAAATTGTCCCAGTGGCTGAGAGAGGACCCAGGTACTTTCGATCTTCTGAATGGATTGATGATATCCTTATAATTATTAACCATCTTGTTTTTCATCCAGTCAGTAATACCTTAATCAATAAAGAAAAAGAAAAAAAAACACAAATATATTTTATATTAAAAAAAAAAAAAACAACAACGAAGGCTACTTTGTTCTCCGATGCTTTGTCCTCATTTAGATGGAAGAGAGCCTTCTACTCAATAGGTATATTCCATTCCACAAATGTACTGAATGTACCTACCATTGCCTATTTGTATGTTTGAGCGTGAAGCTACATACAGAACCACCCAGACCCTCAGTTGCCCTTGGTGTGTTAATAGAAGTAGGAGAAAACATGAAACTTTCAGCTCATTACATTTACTTTTATGTCTTTGGTCCCCACCCCCCCCCCAAAAAAAAAGATCAACACTGGGGAAAATGTGCTTCTGTCTGGAGGTGAAGCTATCTGATCCCTCCAGAACTCTGCCCCTTTTCTAACCAAACATGGGTTTATATGAGGCAAAAGGATAATCTTTATTCAACTAGTTTAGACACAATTATTCAAAAGACTGTTCTGAGAGAGTTGTTTGGTTAGATTTTGTTTCCAAGTGGAAAGCCTAAATTAAGAACCCAAAGACTTAACAATTACTTGATACCATTCAGTTCCATAAACACTAGCTTTGAGAACCACTGGGCTGTGTGGAGAGAACTTTGTTCTCTGTCGCTTTGTTCCCATTCAGATGGAAGAGAGCCTTCTACCCATGGGACAATGACCTCGATGCAAAGTTCTGGGCTTCTTGGATTGGGGTCATTTATAGACCATTATGTTGAGTTAGGTGCCCATTTTCTGAGTCTTTTTATGCCTGTTTCCCTTATTAATATGAACTCTATAGACATCTAAAAACCTGTTGAGTTCATAATTAAGAGGTGGCTTAAAATCTGTTCATTCTTATCTTAGCAGAAGTTTGGAATCTTAGAGGAAAGAGTTTCTTTTTTAGAAGGATTTTTGCATTTTTCATAACAAAGACCAATCAAAATTATTTCTCTTCAGTCTTATGGGGAAAACATCGAATCTAACGTTTGGTCTCTTCCCTGACACACTTTTGTCTACTCGCAGTGTTCCCCAAACTTTTGACATGTGTACTCCTTCTATAATTTTCATAATGCTGAGTACCCCTCTTACTCATGAGAACGTAGAATTAGGTGCAGCTAAGCATGGTGCAGTGCATATCCCCACCAAACTCCGGTGCAACGCGTACCCCCACCAAACTCTTCCTGTACCCCAGGGGGTACGCGTACCACACTTTGAGAAACACTGGTCTACTGCAAACAACTGTGTGTTTTCATGGTATCAAACAAACAACATGAACACAGGATTGCACACGATGGGTTTTTGACAAAGGAGATCCTTATTTTTTATCAAACCTTGATATGTTTTTATTTCTCAAGGAAGAGAGGTTTTGAGGTATAAAGTTGCCATGTCATTCCAATAAAGTATTTGTTCTCTGCTTCTCTGCCTGTGCTTTCTTTCACTGAGAGGAGGAAGAAAAGAAACAGTTCAATACTGGTCTTTGGTACCACTTCCTGTTTTATTTACACCCACTGTAGTCATATGGGGACATTTCTGTGGCAAAGGAATCTGCAGCCCCCCGTGTATCCTGTTAGTGGCCTCACCCTC